CCCGATGCAAGAGCCGAATGGATCACAGGGCTATACCAAAAGAAATAAACTGAAACTGACATCACACAAGCGCTCGCTGGCCTTAATAAAGACTGACTGGATAGTGGTACAAGAAAAAAAAACATTCACGTGGTCACATTGTTGGTAATTAATTAACCATGAATTTAAATTGGATTTCTTATCACAATGTGCACATAAGGAGAGTAAAAATAACTTTGCCGAGGGTTGATGATAATGGGTTTTGTGTGTGGCGCTGCATGGCTGAATGGTTGTTTTTTGTTTGTTTGATTATATTATACGTGGGACAGACACCCACGGGGTCTACACGGTAGAATGCGGTACACGCACAGCAGTTTTACCGATCTAATTTTGCCTAATGTACTTTCTCCAGCCACTCCGTTTCTTTCCACATACGCATTGCCACCTCTAGAGGCACAACGAAATCGCGACAATACCGGGAGAGGCGAGGGCTACGTGCAAATGGCGACGTTTTGGGCAATGGCACTTCTTCATAGCACAAGAAGGCCTATTGCCCAAAACGTCACCGATGTTTTATAGATATATATTTAAAGGCAGTGCTGTTGACGAATTTGTTGATATTTTTTCATGTTGTGTTCATGCACTACAAACGCAGCAGCATCAGCACATTGGCTGATTACGTGTAAATGCATTGTTGCAAGTTGTGTATTATTACGCAGCTGACACCCCCCCACGCTCCCAGGATTTTAAGGTCCCAAGCGGCCTCTGATTTACCAGGCAGGACGGCTGCCCTGTTCCACCACACGCACAATTACTTAGCAATCAATTCACCATAAGTGTCAAGCGGTGTCTTCAAATATCCTTGAGGCTCGGTGAGGCCTAATACAGTGAGAGAAAAAAGTATTTGATCCCCTGCTGATTTTGTACGTTTGCCCACTGACAAAGAAATGATCAGTCAATAATTTTAATGGTAGGTTTATTTGAAGTGAGAGACAGAATAACAACAACAAAATCCAGAAAAACGCATGTCAAACATGTTATAAATTGATTTTCATTTTAATGAGGGAAATTAGTATTTGACCCTTCGGCAAAACATGACTAAGTACTTGGTGGCAAAACCCTTGTTGGCAATCACAGAGGTCAGACGTTTCTTGTAGTTGGCCACCAGGTTTGCACATATCTCAGGAGGGATTTTGTCCCACTCCTCTTTGCAGATCTTCTCCAAGTCATTAAGGTTTCGAGGCTGACGTTTGGCAACTCGAAACTTCAGCTCCCTCCACAGATATTCTATGGGATTAAGGTCTGGAAACTGGCTAGGCCACTCCAGGACCTTAATGTGCTTCTTCTTAAGCCACTCCTTTGTTGCCTTGGCCGTGTGTTTTGGGTCATTGCCATGCTGGAATACCCATCCACGACCCATTTTCAATGCCCTGGCTGAGGGAAGGAGGTTCTCACCCAAGATTTGACGGTACATGGCCCCGTCCATCGTCCCTTTGATGCGGTGAAGTTGTCCTGTCCCCTTAGCAGAAAAACACCCCCAAAGCATAATGTTTCCACCTCCATGTTTGACGGTGGGGATGGTGTTCTTGGGGTCATAGGCAGCATTCCTCCTCCTCCAAACACGGCGAGTTGCGTTGATGCCAAAGAGCTCCATTTTGGTCTCATCTGACCACAACACTTTCACCCAGTTGTCCTCTGAATCATTCAGATGTTCATTGGCAACTTCAGACGGGCATGCATGTGCTTTCTTGAGCAGGGGGACTAAGCGGGTGCTGCAGGATTTCAGTCCTTCACGGCATAGTGTGTTACCAATTGTTTTCTTGGTGACTATGGTCCCAGCTGCCTTGAGATCATTGACAAGATCCTCCTGTGTAGTTCTGGGCTGATTCCTCACCGTTCTCATGACCATTGCAACTCCACGAGGTGAGATCTTGCATGGAGCCCCAGGCCGAAGGAGATTCACAGTTAAATTTTGATTTAAAGCTTTCGTGACTGCAGTAATTCATATTCTTAGCTCTTTCGGTAAAGTCACGTTGAAGGGAAACAATAAAATAATAAAATATATAAAACACCTCGGCCGTGGCAGATCATTGTTCTAATTCAGTAGGCTCACATGCCATTGACTTTTCCAAGACAGAGGTTCTTTGTAAGCCATCTGGCTTCCATGAGAGATTCGTTCATGAGGCTATCCACATATACAAGCACAGAGACAATTTCAACCGAGAAGATGGATTCTATCTTAGCAATCATTGGAAAGATTTGATAAACCATTTCAGGTCTTAATTGATTGTTCACGCTTACAGTGGCTTTCAGACAGCATACATTATAAAAAATTTCGTCTCCCCCCTCCTCTTTTCAGAATATAGATGGACTAGTCCTAAATAAACTGCCAAATCGTTGCACGTGGCGCTAACGTTTTTTATAAATAAATAAATGCGCCGTTTAAAAATAAATTTATGCAAACCAACACACCTGAAGACGACCGTTTGAGTTATGGTCGAAACGTCGTGAGAATTTTTTATTGTTTTATATATTTTATTATTTTGTTGTTTCCCTTCAACGTGACTTTACCGAAAAAACTAAGATTATATATAAAACAATTAAAATTCTTACGACGTTTCGACCACAACACAAACGGTCGTCATCAGGTGTGACGGTTTGCGTTAATTTATTTATTTTTAAACGGTGTATTTATTTATAAAAAAAACGTCAGCGCCACGCGCAGCGATTTGGCAGTTTATTTAGAAGGACTAGTCCATCTATGTTCTGAAAAGAGGAGGGGGGAGACGAAAAATTAATGTATGCTGTCTGAAAGCCACTGTAAGCATGAACAATCAAATAAGACCTGAAATGGTTAATCAAATCTTTCCAATGATTGCTAAGCCAGAATCCATCTTCTCGGTTGAAATTGTCTCTATGCTTGTATATGTGGATAGCCTCATGAACGAATCTCTCATGGTAGCCAGATGGCTGTTTTGATGTAGTTTCCTTATTCACCAAGGTTCCTGTACCTGACACCATCGCAAGCATTGAAGACTTGGTTCATCAAGGACTAAACACTGAGGTACCCCCCTGGTGAGACACTGTTTAACCAATACATACTTCACTTGGAATGGAACTTTCTACAAACAAACTGAGGGCACCCCAATGGGCACCCCCCTATCTCCGGTTATAGCTAACATTTTCATGGAGAAATTTGAGATTGACGCCATCCAGACTGCCACTCTGCGCCCAACCTTATGGAAGAGGTACGTGGATGACACTTTTGTCATCTGGCCACATGGCCGGCCTGCTCTAGACCAATTCTTCGACCACATCAATTCCATACACCCACCCATCAGATTTACCATGAAAGTCGAAAAAGATGGCAAGCTACCGTTTTTGGATGCCCTAATTAAAAAGAGACCTGATGGTTCAATGAGACACTGTCTACAGGAAAGCTACCCATACGGATGCTTATCTGAAACCGGATTCCCACCACCATCCATCACAGAAGAATTCTCTCATCAAGACTCTGTATCATAGAGCCCAATGCATATCTGACCAGGAACACATAGGCAGTGAACTCAAGCACGTACACCAAGCTCTTAAGGCTAATGGTTACACCGACTATACAATACGCAAAGCCATTACTCAAACCATGAAGGACCCTCTTGAGGAGCCTTTCAAAACCATCACTTTACCCTACATTGTGGGGATCACAAAAAAGATCTCCAAAATCTTGAATAAACACAAGATCCAGGTCCGTTTCAACACATTACATAAAATCCGTGATCTGGTTCCGTCTGTAAAAGATGTGATTCCGGACATACAGTACCCTGGTGTCTACAAACTAAGTTGCCTCTGTGGTAGTAGTTACATTGGAGAAACCAAACGCCATGTCTCGGACCGCATTCGTGAACACAAAGCAGACCTTAAACACGGTAGGACCAACACCTCGGCCGTGGCAGATCATTGTTATAATTCAGTAGGCTCACATGACATTGACTTTTCCAAGACAGAGGTTCTTTGTAAGCCATCTGGCTACCATGAGATTCGTTCATGAGGCTATCCACATATACATGCATAGAGACAATTTCAACCGAGAAGATGGATTCTGGCTTAGCAATCATTGGAAAGATTTGATTAACCATTTCAGGTCTTAATTGATTGTTCATGCTTACAGTGGCTTTCAGACAGCATACATTAATTTTTCGTCTCCCCCCTCCTCTTTTCAGAACATAGATGGACTAGTCCTTCTAAATAAACTGCCAAATCGCTGCGCGTGGCGCTAACGTTTTTTATAAATACACAGTTTAAAAATAAATAAATTAATGCAAACCGACACACCTGATGATGACCGTTTGTGTTATGGTCGAAACGTCGTGAGAATTTTTATTGTTATATATATTTGATTGTTTCCCTTCAACGTGACTTTACCGAAAGAGCTAAGAATATGAGATTCACAGTTCTTTTGTTTTTCGTCCATTTGCGAATAATCGCACCAACTGTTGTCACCTTCTCACCAAGCTGCTTGGCAATGGTCTTGTAGCCCATTCCAGCCCTGTGTAGGTCTACAATCCTGTCCCTGACATCCTTGGAGAGCTCTTAGGTCTTAGCCATGGTGGAGAGTTTGGAATCTGATTGATTGCTTCTGCGGACAGGTGTCTTTTATACAGGTAACAAGCTGAAATTAGGAGCACTCCCAATAAGAGTGTGCTCCTAATCTCAGCTCGTTATCTGCATGAAAGACACCTAGGAGCCAGAAATCTGATTGAGAGGGGGTCAAATACTTAATTCCCTCATTAAAATGCAAATCAATTTATAACATTTTTGACATGCGTTTTTCTGGATTTTTGTTGTTGCTATTCTGTCTCTCACTGTTCAAATAAACCTACCATTAAAATTATAGACTGATAATTTCTTTGTCAGTGGGCAAACGTACAAAATCAGTAGGGGGACAACTACTTTTTTTCCCTCACTGTACATAAAGGGAACTTTATAATTGTTAGATAAACAAAACATAAACTCAAGACATGTTATTATTTAATGCCTTCTAAAAAGGCCGAGTGTTTTTATTGTGGTTATGCAAAAAAAAGACTGTACATTTTTTTTAAAAACAAGTAGTAAACTACAATAAACTACAAAACAAGCTTCAAAACTTTACAAAAAATACACAACAAATGTAAAACGGTACATTTTAACAGTATCACACAAGCGCACAGATGTAAATTATGATGGGCTGATATAAAATATTGGCGCGTCGCATTATGCCATTACATTTCTTTTGCAATGCGTACAAAAATAACCCGCCCACCTGTTTAACCCAAACAGTCAAAGGCGATGATGACATGTTAATAGCATATATAGTTTGTTTTATTCGGCAAAAGTTAATCAAACAACGTATAATTAACATCGCAAGCGAGTTTACAAAATGTAAGAATTACCAGTTGATGTGGGGGGGGGGGGCAAAGCACTTTTTTTAGTTTCCCCCAAGTCTCAAAATATCTTGTTCGGACGCATTATCCGCAACGCGCGAGTAAGCGACATCGTCACCAAGGCAGGCCATGTGCACGTCGTTTTGATACCGCAGCAGCTGCCTCTGACAAAGTCGAGCCACGGCAAAGGCAACGGACACAACAGGATTCAGAACTCGCAAAACCTTCTGGCTGTGAGGCAAACACTGGGTCCAATTAACTCGGACTCTTGTGCAAAAAGGTGGAGTACTTTAGTTTACAAACACTGCTGCTGTACTCAGCATAACGTCTGCTGAAATGATTTTGGAAGGGGTGGTGGGATGGGGGGGGGGGGAAATGCAGCTCAAGTTATTTGCATGACACACCGCTAATTGTGTTCACGTTTGCAAATTACAAAGCGTACTCGTTGATTGGAATATATATTTTTCTAGTTTTGACAGACGGTGCTCTTTGTGAGAACCGCGAGAAGCGAGGGCTCGTTCCCTCCTTGGCGAGCACGGCGAAGGAGAGAATCCGTGAGTCCGCGCGGGCCTCTGTCCGCACGGAGACAGGGGGTGGCAGGGGGTGACGGCGTCTCGGTCTGGCTGTCGACTTCCAGCGTAATGCCACCCTCTAGTGTCCTTCCGAGACCTGTACACACGAGACACGATGATTCATTTAAAGCACCCCAATAACGCACGTTGTAACGAAACAAAAAAGAGGAACACGGTTTATGGGGAAAAAAAATGTGTTTTTTGTTGTTTCTTTAAAGTAATCATTCCACAACCATAGTCGTGGAAAGGTGAGCACAGTGTTGTGTGTTGGCAATTGTACAGGCATTCCTCATGGTCATTGCAGTGTGCAAATTTTTAAAAAAAAACATCTCCCACAGTACTGAAAGTGATTCCAAGCTTATATCATGCAGACTATTGTGGAGGTGTGCTGACCCCCCCCCCCACCAGATGTGATTATTTATTGATTTTATTTTTTTTGTCGCATGAGTCAAACCAATATATATTCTTTGTCAAAGCTCGAAATGTATCCAAATTAAGTGCAAAACCAGTTTTAAAACGACGGCTTTATTTGTGCACTCATTGGTGACCAGGCTGAGAACATCAACTTGCTACACTCAAGACCCCGGTTTTATAACAGGCAGGTGATCTCAGAAGAGCCAGCGCAGAACGCTGGTCTAAGAGGCACGGCCACCAAACTTTTACATCATGAACAGGCCCATAAGGTAGGCTTTACAATGTCACCCCCAACCCACGATCTTCAGTGGAAAGACCTGTTGATGAATTGCATGTGTGCGACACCATTGGAAATCTCTCCATAGATGAGAAGACTGGATGGGAAGCACTCAATGGTTAGCAAAGCAGAATGATGGAAAACCCCACAACCACCATAGAAAGAGAGCAGAACATTTCAGAAGGAAGCGTTGGCACATTATGATTACAGGCTTAACAGTGAAATGAAGGTCTACACTGAATACTGTATATAAGGGCTTTTGCGTACGTGTGTTTATTCAAAGCAGGATTGGCAAAGTCACCAAATTATTTGTCAAAGCTATGGAGACAATGAAAACTACATTATTAGTCACTCATGGTTTTTGGTTGAGGGCCTCAATGATCTGACCAATGTTGTGCCATTAAGACCCTCCACCACCTGATAACCATGCAACTTAAATGATCACGTATACAAGCGTTTAGCGCACCAATGGTGATTGTTCCAGCTCACCAGTAAGTTTAAAGACAATTCTCACCACCAAATTTTGCAGTGAGAGAAGTGAGAATTTGGTTTGTTTGGCTGTATCGGGTGGTGGAGGATTCTTAACGACATTACTTGACCTAACGACATCAATTCATGAGTGCTAAGTTATCCATTGTTGCCGATTCTGGTTGTGCCAACGTTCCTTGAGAAATATCTACAACGCAAGTAGCCTCATGAATACTGACCTCCCGTAGGCGATAGCACCGATTAAAACCACAGGCTGATTTGGTGCATCGCATGATATAAAGAATGGAATAAAACCAGAGGAACTGCGACAGCAGTGATGTAAAAGCACAGGCTGAAAATAAGTTACCATTGTCATCTTTAAGAAACACTTCCTTATAATAATACATATACCACAATATAGACTATATTGTAGTCTATATTGACTATATTATAGTCTATATACAATACTGTCTATCGACTGTCATATAGTCTTACGAGGGGTAGGAAACCAAAATTATAAGAGCCTTTTTTTCCGAATTCGGTATAAAAAAAAAACTCAATATTTCAAGTGCCGCAATGCACGTGAACACGATACGGTTCTCAATAAATAATCATAAACAATGGGAGGATTCAAACTGTACTGGCACTTTTGATTTAAAGCTTTCGTGACTGCAGCAATTCATATTCTTAGTTCTTTCGGTAAAGTCACGTTGAAGGGAAACAACAAAATAATAAAATATATATAAAACAATAAAAAAATTCTCACGACGTTTCGACCTTAACACAAACGGTACACATTCAGGCGTCAAAATTCTCACCACGTTTCGACCATAACACAAACGGTCGTCTTCAGGTGAAGACGGTCGTCTTCAGGTGAAGGTCTTCAGGTGAAGACGACCGTTTGAGTTATGGTCGAAACGTCGTGAGAATTTTTTTATTGTTTTATATATATTTTATTATTTTGTTGTTTCCCTTCAATGTGACTTTACCGAAATAACTAAGAATATGTACTGGCACTTCTTTATAAATCACACATTTTAATGAAGTGAACATGCATCAAGGCCCTCTCGTGGCTATCGACAACTGGCCCTCATCTGGAACAGGAGTCGGCATTATCCAGGTGAGAAAAAAACACCTGGATATTTCAAGAGCCGCAAGGCAACGTGAGCAACGTCACGAAGCAGCCCTTGAATAGCTGCACGGGGCTCGGGAGCCGCAGGTTTGCCGACCCCTGGACTCTATAAAAATAGAGACGATATTCCACGATAGTAGCGCCCTCTAGTGGAGCCCCTCCTGCCAGCAGTGGCATGGGCAAGCAATTGCAGTGCTGCACCTTAATCTCTTTTTGTTTACTAATCTCTGAAGCTAGAACCATTGCCCCGAAACAACAACTTATTACACGTGCTTTCGCTGCTAAGTCAGTGGTGGTTAACGATGACAGTGCCAACATATTTTCAGCCTCTGATGAATGGCTTAACCAACTTGTTCAATAGAGCTCTAAATTAGCTTCGAGTTTGCTTGAGCTTACTTTATGCCGTCTGCTGCGACTTTCAGACCAACGTAGAGGTCATCCGATTTTTCTGAGAAGGAAATGGGATCATTTAAAAATAATGTGCTAATCTATGTTTATGAGAACATCACATTATAACCAATTCCCGCAACCAGAATATCACGTTAAAAACTGCGTACGCATTCAGGCGTCAAGGATGCCGTCGTGCTGTGATCACAGACGATAAAGTACGCAACTCAGTGAATATTTAGCCGATCAGCAAGCGGGCGTGTTGATTCATTACTGAATTAATGCGTACATCACAGGGATACAACTGCGCTGTCACCATCCATTCTGTTCAACACGCGCGACACGTTCGTCACGGCGGTAATTCCCGCGTACGGCAACGTGTTTATTCCCTCCCTCGACTCCCCCCCCCCCCCCCCCCCCCCCCCCCCCCCCCCCCCCCAGCGGTAGAGCCCACCGCACGTACCGGTGCGACCGCGAACGCGCCATCTGGCGACGCGTCCGAGGGACCCAGCAGCGACACGTCCGAGGTGCGGGACGTCGACGAGCAGACGGACGACGCCGCGGACGGGACGGACGACGGCGAGGCGGACGGCGAGGGGGAGAGGCGCGTCCCTGGGGGCGGCCGCTCCGCGGGGACGGGGGCAGCGTCGGGCGAGCCGTAGTCGCAGCCGCTCTCCCGCGAGGTGCACTGCGACGACTCGGAGCTCTCCGTTGCTGCGGACGCACGCAGCGCGCACACCGCGCACACCGCGCGTTACTCACACAGCACGCTGCAGCCAAGAGCGGGTAGAGGTCAAACAAAATGACGTAGAAAGGCCCCGTGGTTCAATGAAAGCACTCTCAACGGAATAACCGACTTTGCTGATATTAGCCGATCGAATGCAGGGGGTGTATCACACGACCACTCGATTCAAGTATTGCTTGCCAATGAATCCATTGCCAATGAATCAACTGCCAATGAAGGCCGCCGGATCGACTGAGCTAAATCGATACTATTAAACGTCAATTCACGATCCACAATGACCATATATGGGCAAAGACAATGCCCCTTCGGCCAACACCATGCCCACTTTCTTCCACATATCGGCAAATCTCTGATCGGCGATTTCGTCGGGTGTCCGATTTCATCGCTCTATTACAGCGCAGCCCTGCAATTGCTTGCTTGCTCCACTGCTCAGGGCAAGGGCCCGCACTAGCGGGAGCTCCTTTGAGAGGGAAAGGTGGCCCACGTTTAGCAAAGCGTCAAACGTGCATTCCTTCAGCTCGGCAACAACGACGGGGACGAATGTATTTCACCCATGTGTGCCTTTTCCTGGCCAATATCACTGTTTCCTTAAATCTCACTCGCTGTTCTTCTAGACCCCTTAGATACATACACTATCGCTCTCCATCTGTCTCTCGGTCTTTTGCTCGTTTCCATCGACGTATGTGCAGGGCATAGCACACGCACACTAACCCAGTTCACTCCAGTAAACGAACCCAAACGACTGTGGCTCTTCTTTCCTTAACTTTGTCCCCTAAATTTGTTTACACTTCCAGCCATTTTTTTAACTCCGGTTTAGAAACTCCAAGAATGATTCTCTGTCAGCTCATCGTGGCCACTAAGATCTTTCTTTTGTTTAATGAAGAGTAAACAATCTAAAAAATTCACGTTTGGGTAATGGGAATGAACAGCAGTAGTTACAATGTGCATGAAGTCTGGTACAAACCTAATTGATTATGTACACATTACTGTTTGCAAGAGACTTGTTTTCTCCGGTTTTAAAATAATTGATTACAAAACTTAATCAGAAAACACTTTCGCGGTCGGCAATTCTATACGCACAGGCTTAAAGGAATTTCAACACGCTCATAAATTGAAGGTCATGACAACAATGTAAACTTTTGATTTAAAGCTTTCGGAACTGCAGTAATTCATATTCTTAGCTCTTTTGGTAAAGTCACGTTGAAGGGAAACAATACAATAATAAAATATATATAAAACACTAAAAATTCTCACGACGTTTCGACCATAACACAAACGGTTGTCATCAGGTGTGTCGGTTTGAATTAATTTATTTATTTTTAAACGGTGTATTTATTTATAAAAAACGTCAGCGCCACGCGCAGCGATTTGGCAGTTTATTTAGAAGGACTAGTCCATCTATGTTCTGAAAAGAGGAGGGGGGAGACGAAAAATTAATGTATGCTGTCTGAAAGCAACTGTAAGCGTGAACAATCAATTAAGACCTGAAATGGTTAATCAAATCTTTCCAATGATTGCTAAGCCAGAATCCATCTTCTCGGTTGAAATTGTCTCTGTGCTTGTATATGTGGATAGCCTCATGAACGAATCTCTCATGGTAGCCAGATGGCTTACAAAGAACCTCTGTCTTGGAAAAGTCAATGTCATGTGAGCCTACTGAATTATAACAATGATCTGCCAATAATATATTTTATTATTTTATTGTTTCCCTTCAACGTGACTTTACCGAAAGAGCTAAGAATAACAATGTAAACATTTAGGAATCTCCCAACGTGTGCAGAGCAGGGGGCAACGCAGCCACCGCGAGTTGTTGCTCTGGGTGCCGGATTCACCCACAAACGTTTACACAGCGCCAAGGCGTCGGTCGCGAAACCGCCGAGACCGGCGCGGAACGGGGAAAATCGCAACGCACTCATCGATGGCTGACTGCCGCTCTCGTACTCCAGCTCGTCGAGCTCCTCGATGCGGCCACCGACGTCGTGCGGCCGCCCCGCCGCCGCCGCCGCCGCAGCCGCAGCCGCAGCCGCAGCCGCCCCTCCGGCAGCCGATCCCCCCCCCGTGCCGCGCGGCGAGAAGGGGATGGCGCCGGCGGCGCCGCACACGTGCAGGTTGAGGGGCCCCAGCAGCGAGGACGACGATTGGCTGCGGCCCGACGACGACGAGCTGCTGCTGCTGGAGATGGTGGAGTGCGGCCGCTTGAACGGCTGCGAGTGGTCGAAGGACGACACGGCAATGGACGCGCGTGTCCTAGCCGCGCCTGCGCGGGGCGGGGCGGGGCGGGGCGGGGGGAAATCCGCAGAGATTTTTGGTTGTAATTTTATATATATGTAAAATAATAATCCAGAAACGTGTGACGGTGCTTATGACTTGTAAATAGGTATTCACGCTGTTGACTAGGCCAGGAGGGAATTGTATGGTTTCAAGGAAGGAACGCAATGTCAGAAACTGCGACAGCAGTGGTGTAGATGCGGAGGCTAAAACTACGTTACCATCAAATTTTGATTTAAAGCTTTCGTGACTGCAGTAATTCATAGTCTTAGTTTTTTCGGTAAAGTCACGTTGAAGGGAAACAACAAAATATTTAGTTGTTTCCCTTCAACGTGACTTTACCGAAAAAACTAAGAATACGTTACCATCGTTATACGTAACAAACAGCCCCTTGTAAGCTGAAAAATGTAATCCAAGGAAGATTTCTGTTTTATAGCCAGAACAATGTATTATTTGCAAGGAATTTCACAATACAAACAGGTATACACACAGACACAACCACATACATGCACACGCTCAGGTATACAGAGATCCCCTGTGTAGCCTTAACAGGCTATTTATACTCTTGGGTTCTTTCGGTAAAGTCACGTAGGTAGAAAAAATAAATAAAAAAAAAAAATATATGGCTATTGATGCAAGTGTTGTTAGCAAGCACCTATGAAGGTCAGCACGGCACACGAGGGGGTTGGTGGCAGGTACCATGTCCGGCCGCCTTTGTCTCCTTAGTGGATGTGATTAAAGGTACTCATTTGAGGCTGAGTCGACCTAGCGAAGGCCCAGGACCGGTTCAGATAATCGTCACTGGTGTTGGCCGTGACCGTCAATCGAACTCAGGTCACCGGGTTCGTCATGCAGTTTGCCAACCGCTACACAACTGCTCCTACACGATTGTGCCACTGCCCCACACACACGCACACAAACGCACGCACACACGCATGCATGAGTGCATATGCACACAGGTAATGTGTTTTGAGGTTATATTTCAGCACCTTACCTCTATCCTTCATGATGTAGTCTATGGCACGGTCATTGATGGCTGCATCGCTGGGTTTAATGTCGAGGAAGGGCTTGTTCCCAATCCCCATGGACACCAACTCTTGCATCCGTATATCTGCCGTTGTGCACACCATCACAGTTTTTATGTGAATGTACTGGAGAATGAAAAAGAAGCACGTGGATCAGGAAAAACAAGTGCAAATAATTTGTCGCATCGAATCGCAAAGAAGAGTAAGTGGGCTTAGGCAGGACGCGTCACGAGAAGAGATGAAGGCCGATGGATTCGGCCGGCAGGCGAAGGAGAGAACACGCCCGAGAGAATAACCAACGGAGAGACGGAGCGGTGAGATCGGCTAATTTGCAGGAGTGAGATAGAATGTGGCATAACAGGGCAGAGAAAGATGGTTAAGCCACTGGAGCTATGCACTTTGAAATCTAGATTGAAAACTAATTTCTTTGGAACTGCTTTTTGTGTTTAGTTTGCTGTCCTTCCCACGCACCTCCGATTAGCACGGTTGGCTACGTACGGTGCAAAAGAAGTTCCACATGCATACATACGTGGCAAGGTGAAATTAGCAACGTTACATATGTGGATATCGAGGTAATTAAGCCTCTGCGGAGGCTTAACAAACATTGGCTGATGAAGAAGATGACGATAACGAATAAATAAAATAAGAAACGCAGGCACAGCGTCGTTTGGGCCTCACGTCTGTTGCGGAGAGCTTGCTGCCAGAGGATTTTAGAGATGTCCTCCGTCCAGGCCTGCTTGACCTCGGAAGACGGAGCCTGCAGGATGAACGTCTCGTTGGACTTCCTCCTCCGGAACCAGATCTCGAATCGCAGGCCGCTGTCTCCCACATTTTCCGTCATGCCGATGTCCGCAGTCTACACAACGACGTTGCATCAGCTTCACAACATCCGTCAGCGTGTGGGCGCGTAGCAGGCGTGCAAAAGGAAGTTATTAGCCTTGCTGTTCCATGAGCTGTCATGAATACTGGGTTGCAATGCTGTAGAACTAAGATCGGATGCGTTGATCAGTAAATCCAGCAGAGGGCAGTACAGCAAGGAGATTTTTTTAATCTATCTGCAAATTATTTAGAGATACTGCATTGGCAGTGATGCACAAGAAACACGTGACGAAAACCTCAACACATTCGTCAACTCTGTGGCCGTCCCATGTGCGATGAAGGAAGGCCATTACCCTAAACGTCACCTTTTATATATTTTCATTGAAGGCAATGTTAAACACACATATGTTACGGATTTATTAAGTGCTATCCCCTCAACATGCGTTGCCCACCACACACAAGGAAAAACGTAAGAAGGATCTGAGAAACTGGTCAAACATCCCAATGCAGGTCCATCCAGGATTGCTGGAGCCTTCTCTAATGGTTCCCTATGTAATTCAATGACTCCTAATCATCATCTTTTGTGTAAATGTTGGTACAGAGCAGGTCTGTCCACCTTGTCCTCTCACCTAATTTTTACGTCAATTGAACTATCGCCCATCATATCACGAGAAGAAGAATCCACGTGGAATTCTGACAGAGTAGTAAATCTCCCCTTGTGTGCTGGAGAAGAGCTCAAAGACGGCAGATATCACACAATTGCTTCTGTGCTCCCTCACCTGTGACCGGTCACACGTAAACACTAGAGGGCTCACTTTCCCACATACCTTGCCGCAGAGAAAAACTTCTCAATTTGTTTGATGTAATATTATTATGGTGCAGTCACTGGTGGCCAGACTGTTAGCTGAAGCCTGGAATTTAACCCAGGGTCCCAGTGGCTCCAGCTCAGCGCTCTGACCTCTAACCCCCTCCCCCGTCACCTCCAAGGCTTCTGGGAAGTGGGGACTGACAAGCGATTCAGGCTCCACGGTCAGCTAGGCCATAGCTTTATTGGAATTAATTAACAGTTTGTATATTTTACAGGCATTGTTATCAGCAAGTGGGCGATTGCTGTTTATGCATTTGCCCCTGAGACGACATGCCCTTGGACTGCAGAAGAGCCAGAAGAACGTTTAAAACCTGCTACTACGACTAATAACACCGCAATGCCGTCCATGCACCCGGAAAAGCCTCGCCGAGTCTCACGGCTGTCAGCTGCACCACGGGCACCGTCTCACCTTGTAGGAGTTCTTGTAGACGTACACGTCATAGCCGCCCTCAACGCGCTTCGTCTTGCTGAAGAGCACCATCTCCTGGAAGAGGAAGACGTGCCGCAGATACCTCCGGCGGCCGCTCAGCACCACCAGCGAGTCCTGACGCATCAGTTGGCCCTGCTCCTTCAGGTTCACCTGCGTCAGCGGCGGCGCACACACAAGAGCACACAAACCGGCGCGTCGATTCGTCGATACGTGCCTCAAAAGCGCGCACGTGATCGTTTGTATTGTTTTATGAAACTTGCGCAAACTGTGCAGAATCAGCAAAATGGACTGAATGAGAAACGGCGCAAATGAGAGAGCAAAGATGGGGCAAAAGTTAAGTGTTAGTCACATTGAATCACAAATCCAGAATCCTGTCAGTCCACTGAACGGTTGGTGGTGGGGGGAAATTATCATTGAAGCACGCCAATAACACAGCGCCGCTTCATAGCGCATTGATTCCTGGACCACTTTGGAGGGAATACCGAACATCCTCAAATATTATCACGTCCAGTTATGTGCTCGGAAGAAGGACCATTGCCTGAAACATCACCAAATATATATATAATTTTTTTATTTATCTCATGGCAGTGTTATTGTCAAACTCGTTTTTATTTAGTTTCCCGATAAATCACCCATTCATACTCATCTGTCCGTTGAACTTCTTTCGCACCATACGTAGCCAAACCGTGCCAAATCGGAGGTGAAGGACGGCAAAACGAACCACGCAACCCCCCGCGGGCAGCCGAGGGAGGAAACCGAACTGCCCGGCGGCCCCACTCACGTCGCAGTCGCGCAAGGCGTCCATGGCGAGCAGGTCATTGCCGTGCCGCAGCTGGAAGCGGACCAGCTCGAGCGCCGCCCTCAGCTCGGCGAGCTCCTGGTCCATGGCATAGGCCGGGACGGCGGCCCCGGGCAACGGCGACGGCGGCGGCGACGGCGACGCGGGCGAGGCGGCGCGCGGCAGGACGCCCCCGTCGGCCGGAACGCCGGCCAGCGAGCTGCACTCCTTGATGAGGTCGCGCAGCAGCAGCGCGTACTTGCTCATGCGCTGGATGGGCTTCAGCAGGTACGACGCCAGGTCCATCTTGTCTCCCATCTCCAGCTGCTTCCGCTTGCGTTTGGCGTTGGCGAGCGGGGGTTGGGGAGGAGGGGGGTAAAAGTTGTGACGAACGATCGTGGGGCCGCTGCGCCACTGCCGCTCCCACCCCCAACGGCAAGGTGCTCGTGAGCAAAGGGAAAGGTCTTTCTTTCCTGCCTCGGCAGCTCTCCCGCAAATTGTTTTCACCTGATGACGATTGCTTGTGTTGCGATCGAAACGTCGTGATATCGTTATTCATTTTTTTTATGAATTCTGTATTTCTACCTACGTGGCTTTACCGAAAGACCCAAAGAATATGAATTCCTGCAGTCACGAAAGCTTTAAGTCAAGATTTAAAGGTCTTTCTGTTTAGCCGTACACAATCCTGGGGTTGTTTTTGCCGTATTTCGCCGTGCTGCATCATGCGGGTCGAAGGGGTGTGCACAGTACCGATTCAGACATCACTCGCCACTGATGTTTGCTGCATGCCGGGAATTAAACACAGGTGAAACCACTCAGCCGCTGTCTTAGTGGCTGGCTCATTATCTGGCCACTGCCATAGGAAAGTGTGGAATAGCCATCACTGATCCCAGACCACCGATGAAAATCAACACTGCCCAGGGTAATGTCGTATTTTTTTGCGCAGAAAGGAATGAATGAAATTTACCTTGAAGAAGGCGTTGCCGTGACTGGCCAGTAGTGTATCCGACTGTGGCTTGTTCTTGCTGTATAGGGCGTACATCTCAAACTGCTTCTCCTGAATAAATAAAAGCATAGGTGACATATTATTGAATATAATGGTGGACAATTATATGGAGAATCTACACCAAAACAAGGCAGAAAACGCATCCGATAGTCACGTAACATTTCAGTCCACGTAAGATGTCATATGGTGTGGATCTAAAAAAAAAAACGAAAAACTGATGATTAGTTTCATATCGCGGCAGTGATGATGCAGATTGCGCCTCAAAATCGCCGAGCAGGAACTACAGACAAGCTGGAAGGCTGCCAGGCAGTGATCAGTGCTCTATATATGAGAATGTTTGCAGCCAATTAATTAGTGCGCGTTTAATACATGTGGCAGCAAACCGGAGCACCCGGAGAAAACCTAAGCATGTGACGGGGCAATACTCTAAACCCGTACAGAATGGACAGATATTATGAATCCTGCATTCTGCTGGCGAGGCCAGAGAATGGCTCCTCGGGGCCCCCGGCAAGGGAGTTCAACGACATCTGTGTGCGATCCACCAACCCTCGAAGCCTCCACAGTGCTGGATTACCAGCCACGTGCATAGCCACCATCACCGGCTATGTGAAGGTGCGTGATGACGTCATGCGTCATGAAGAGGGGAGGTGAGGCGCGCTTTCATCGCTAACTCTGGGGCAACCCCTTTGATTAATTTGGCCGTCCCGAATGAATAACTCAGCACTACGATCTAATTCAGATTGCTTCATCTTTACGGGAATTATCGTGCACTCCCCTGCCACGCCCCCAGCGCCCCACCGTTACCGACAGAAGGACAGAGATGATACATCAGTGCTTGGAACGTGGTTGTGCAGCACGAAAGAACAGTTCCTCTCATGTTATATGAGAGTACCTCTCATGTCAGTATTATTAAATAAACATTAATTGGCATGGGGCGGCCTATGAAATAAGAACGAGGGTGGTTTGCGTTCAAGGGCGCAGCTACCCGCAATGTGGCTTTGGTTCTCACATTCGTGACTTCCTTTGTAGTCAATGAAAAAAACAATGCGTGTTTATTTACGGCATTACCGCACAATGGGGATTATTCATACGTAACACCAGCACAACATAATAGTGAGGAGTTACAGAATGGAATGTCTGCATGCAGAGCTTAGATTTTTTTGATTTATGGGCCTTATTTATTCACCCCTCCAACATCGGATTGACACAATTAATTTTTATTTTTTGCAACAACAGTTCATTTGCACGCAGACGCCAATATTCCAACACTTCTCAGGGTAAATTTCGAAGGCCACTTGTGTTGTGGCCAAAACGTCGTGAGAATTTTATTGTGTTATTTTATTCTATTAATTTATTATTTTATTCTCATTCTACGTGACTTTACCAAAAAAAACCAAAGAAGACTTCTCAGGGTAGCTAGCGGATTGCACCAACTTGCGTGCAACTCCCAAAACTTGCTGGGCCGTGAGATGGCCAGTACAGAATGTGTAGGTTCATGCACGTGCCTGCGGGGACCTGTGATTGTCGGCTAACCCCATCACAACGGTGGCTTTCCTGCATGCACGCCAGTTTCCTCACACATACAAAACGTTCTTGAAAATGGAATTGACCAAACATCGCAATACAGGACCCTGCTGAATGACTCCTGAGATGCAGTGAGTCTATAATGGATCATAAACAATAACAATTCACTCCATTGGAACCTCCTTTGCCAGTAGCAAAATATTATAATTTTTTTTTACCCTTTTATCTGGCAACAAACTGACACTTTTTTTGGCGTCATCTGGTCCAACACCATGTGAGACTAGGCTCTAAGGAAAGCTGTCTCGGGTGTGCACCAATCAATTTCAAGGACAGTGCATACATCATCAGAGTTATGTTTTTTTGTTTGCATTCCGACTGCAGGTATTGTGGTCAATGCAAACATGACTCCGTGTAAAAAAAAAGTGTCAGTTTTGTTGCCAGATAAAAGGGTGAAAAAAAAACAATCATCAATAACATTGTACTCTCATTTTTGCTATGATTACAAAAACTCAGAATACAAAGTAGATTGTGAAGAGGGAGGGGGGGGAGAAACAACAAATAGCGTGCAACAAACCCGGAGCAACACTTGTCTCCTTATTTTTAAGGGATTAAAAAAAAAAAGCTCATGTAACTTCGGCTGAACCAGCCAGAGCCGCGGCATTTTACTTCAACGCAAGTAGCCGCCGCCGGCAGAGGAACGCGGAATTTCCGCCCCTCGCACCGGGGCTAAAAACAACAGGACGTGCGCGACCCCCCCCCCCCCCAGCCCACGCTCATTCAAAACAAATGGAAAACCCTGCTTGGGAAGCGGGCCCAATAAATCGCGACCGCTTAAATCCATTAAAACCCGCGCCCGCCGCGGCCACGAAGTGGGTGCGGGGAGGGTGCGGCACTCACGTAGCGCAGGAAGCAGTGGCTCACTCGCAGCGGGTGGCTGAAGCACTGCTGGAGCTCGTGCAGGAAGTAGCGTGCGTGGAAGTCGTGCAGCTTCTCCAGGTTGCCGAAGATGACGGAGCGCTGGCCGCGGAGGTCCTGCGGCGTGTCGGGCCGCTCCAGCTCGGGGAAGTAGCTCTCCTCCACGTAGGCGAGCGAGCGCACGTACTCGCGCTCCGTCGACACCATCTCGGCCACCACGTGGCCCAGCTTGCCGCTGTCACGCGCCAGGAAGGAACGAATGGGCCGCCAGTGTCGCACGCGCGCACGCGCGCGGCCACGAGCAGGGGGGCCCGCGATGCTGCCGTTGCCGTGTGACGCACGCGCACGGATGATATCGTCACGTGCCTGTGCGTACGCATGCTGAACTTCTTCTCACACCGTACGTGGCCAACTGTGCTAAGCGGAGGTGCGGCCGTAGGTGGCGCTGGTGTGTCGCACGCTCATGATGTTCCGCTGAGACGAGTCTCATCGGCTTGCCCTCGTTAAAATAAGACCGCTGATATTGTTTGTTGGAATGGTGTAGAAATATCCAGGCAATGGTGGAGATCTGAATGGCTCGAGTCATCGACATTAGTGGGTTAGCAAGCACGTAAGAGTTACAAATAAATTAATCAGATTTTGATGTATTATTTCTTGATGTCCATTTATAAATGTTTTAACAGTTAACATTATTGTGGGACATAACGTTTGAGGTTTATTTTTTTGTAACACAGCAAGTTATGCTGTAATTGACCGCCATCTCCTCCACCTCCGACGTTATCGCCGGGAGGCCCCCAAATCAGTGGTCACACGAAATGTTGAGCAGCCGCTGATTATGTAGCCAATGGCATCTCATTCTACCCAGGTTTAAACCCCAAAAGTGTGCGCAAGGTCTGCCTAATCTCCCCCCAGGGGGCACCATTCTCATGTTCGTAGGGGGCTCGTTTTTTTGCCTCCTCGTTTTTTCTTTACCATGGCAATAAGCCCAAAAAAAATCCCATAATTGGTCACAGCCAGGGCCACATTAACGATTCAACGCGCAGGCGCGCAAACTCGCCGATCTATAATCACATTTCTTCTAAGCCGCCCTCGTAGAGATCTGCCTTCTCAGCGAAGCACAAGTCCCTTTCAAAGTGCAGAATGCTCTGCCGCTGACCAGAAGTTTTGACTGTGCATCGCAGCTCCTCGCGACTCTCATCGTCGGACGGATCTAAGCCTCTGGCACCCTTCAATTAATGCCCGTGGCGTATTGACGTCTGGCTTGAGCGTCAATACGACATATGGATATATGTCAAGTGAATACGAATTGCTGTTCAATAGACAATAAAAGTAATGTGAACGCAATGTATTATTACAATCGTAATTTCACAGCCCCTTTGTCATATCACTGCTGGATGAAGGCTTCCCCACGCCGTGTTGGTTGTAAGGGTTGTTCACCATGCTGGTCGATGTACGATTGTGATGCTGCGGTGCTTATGCGTGGAAGCATGTAAGAGCAGTCCTGCTGCTATCAATGTAACCCCACGTATGGTCCATATAACTGTAGAGCATGTTGTGTTTACGTGGTGTGAGATTTGCTGCTGCTGTAAATAGAAATCCCCGTGGGACCACTTTACAAATTAGGTAAATGAACCATAACTGCCATGTGTGATATAATAAGAGCTCTTGTGAAAAAAAAACGCTGTTGAAGGTCAACCTCACAGGACTACTTTGGATAAATCTTGATGAAAATTATTAATAGACTGCTATCATCTGGCTGTTCGAGTCCATTGAAATGTAACTCCAAACAACAATTCAATTAAAATGATGCGCACAACTGTCAGTGCTGGCAAAATTGACTCCAATTAAAACAGGAAGGTGTAATTCTGCCATTGTTTAATGGCGCACAATTAATTGTAGAACTAAGCTAAGGTAATTTTGTCAGCAAAAACATTAAATTGTGTTCTCAAAATTAGCATATTGTCCTGAAAACCAGCTGGCTGCCGTTGTTAGTGCATGTGACATTTTAAACGCCGAGTTCAATTCCTGGTCAGGAGATCAACACAGCGCTTCATCCCTCTGATGTTGATACAATGAGTGGCCCTATGTGAGAAGTCAGCAGTGGTCATTCATCCTTTGGAGTGTGCAGACTGACAACTGCTTGCTCACGTCACTGCTGGCAGAAGGGGCTCCACTAGAGAGAGCTCTAGAGAGCTTCTCGAGTCGGTGGTTGGCCTACTCTTTCACGCCGGCCAGACGTCTTGGAAGAGGCGAGCATTCCCATACTTTACCTTCCCACACCACAAGAATTGTAAAAAAAATTCAAAAGCCAGACGAGCGACGGGCATCACCTCGGATTAGCACGGTGACATACGTCACCCTCGACTCGTCCTGGAGGCAGGAAAAAACGCTCCGACACCCTTGACAAAATTCACACACGTAAGTGCGTTGAACTTCTTTCGCGCCGTACGTAGCCAACCGTGCCAGTCGGAGGTGCGGGAGAAACCAGACGACGTGGGGGGGGGGGGTGGGGGGGGGCGGGCAGGTAGCACCGAAGCAGAGCAGTCGCTCACCTGGTCCGTAGCCTCACGTCAGCCGCCGACCCGTAGAACGTGGGGCCGTCGGGGAGGCTGCGCACCTTGGCGAGGGCGGCGTGGGGCGGGCCCCCCAGGGCGACGCCGCGCTCCTCGGCCACCGCCGCAGCCGCCGCGTCGCCGCACACCTCCAGCCCCTTGATGTAGACGCCCGTGTTGCCCGAGCGCCGCGCCGGCTCGCTGCCCGACCGCTGGTGGAAGGCGGGCGACGTTCCCGCGCCGTCGGGCGACGCGCAGCCCAGCGACGCGCTCGACTCCCTGCGCTCTCGGTGGGGGGCGGCGGCGGCGGCGCCCGCCGCGGGCGTCCTCTGCGCGGGCTGGCGGGGCGGCCTCGGCCAGGGCTGGGGCGACGGGGCCGGCTCCGAGTGGCACGACGAGGCCGACGGGGTGTGGCAGAGCTTCGGGTGGCCGTGCTGCGGCGGAAAGGAGGGCGGCGAGGACAGCGGAGGGAACGGAGAGTCGGAGGGGGAGGGGGAGGAGAAGAGTCGCTCCTCCGGCTCGCCGTGGTAGGACTTGGAGGAGGACACGGAGCCGCCGGCGGGTTTGCTTCTGTGCGACGAGGAGGAGGAGGAGGCGGAGGAGGTGGAGGCGGAGGAGCCCCTGCGGTGGAACTCGGAGGAGACGTGGTGCTTGAACTGGGAGGCGGCCGCCTGGCGCAGGGACTCCTTGTAGCACAAGGCAGAGGTGGCGGAGCATGGGTGGGTGCTCCGTTGTTTTTGTCCGGCGGGCTCCGTGGCGCACGACGACAACGACGACAACGAGGCGGCGGTGGTGGAGTGGGATCTCGCGCGGCAGTCCTGCAGGTAAGACTGCATGCGGCTGGGCCTCCCCAGCAGGGGCGTGGATGCCTGCAGAGGTGGCGGCACTCCCTGCTCGCTCTGCTCTTGGCCGCTTCGAGCGGGAAACGCTTGCTCCTCTGAGCAATTAAGGGGCGGTGCGTGCGGCTCTTTGGGTGGGAGAACTTGCGCCGCTTTGTCCGGAGAATTGGGGACAGGCTTAGGAGTTCCAATGTCCGGTATTTTCTGCCTTTCTGGTTGGCTCTTGTCTAAACCCAGCACTTTGGCCACAGTCATCTGCGTGTCCGTGTGCGTGGCCTTCTTCGACGACTCTGATGCCTTTTTCATTTTTCGGAGCGTCTCCATCTTTTTTCCGAGCAGTTGCCGCGTGTCTTGGTACTTGATACGGAGAAAAAACAAAACGAGAAACTCCGTTAGATGCAGTCACAGACACACGTGTGTCGAATGTGAAATGTATTATGAATACGTGTTTCTGTGTAGTGAACTATATGAATTCACTGTTATAATTCACAATTGCCTGCCAACGCAAAAACGTGGTAACAATCATTGGGAATGTTCTTCATTGAATATTGCCGATAAAATGCCATAGAATAAAATTAAAACCATCATTAGTGAATGATATCCTCCTCACCAGTGTAATATGGAGTAGAAAAAAACAAGGGTCAAAAGTTAAATGAACGGTAAAAGCCAAAACATTCACTTAAAACGAAGTGGGCCAGAACGAGCGTGGAAATCCTGACCAGACAATTGAACGCATTGCGAACCACAGTGAGCCTCGGTTCTAAGACAACATTTTTTTTTAAACTAAAAGATTTTTTGTTATTTTACCAGGTAAGGCCCACTTAGCTTTATAGATTTTTTTTCAGAAGCGACCTGGCCACAGAAGCGACTGGGCACAACAAAGTGTTTATCACGTGAACATTTATCGCAGCCAAATACTCGAAATGCATGTTTCTAAATGTGGAGGGAAAAACTGGAGAACTCGGAGAAAAATCCACACGACCACTAGGATAACATGCAAAATCCAAATATACAGGCGTCAGGGTTGGGATCGAACCCATGAACCTCCTGTATACCAGGCAAGGTAGTTAACATCATGCCAACGCGGCGATTGTTTGCGCCCGGCACCTTGAACCAGGCGAACTTCCAGCGCTGGAGCCCCTTGTCGCTCCCAAGGCCCTGGGCCACCTCGCGCATCTCCATGAACGCCTCGTCCGTGAGCCCCGCTCCACGGCCAGCGCTGTAGTCCTGGAGGGTACGCAGCGCCGGCGCAACTTCCTCGGGGCTATCCAGGGTCACGCGGCCGAGCAGACGCACGCCCTCCGCTGCCCAGTCGCACGCCTGCAGGGACGCGCGCGTTGGGCGCGTAGGGAGGGGGAGAGGGACGCACGACGTCACCAATGCTGGCGTCATTCAACTTGCTGGATGCCTTGCGCAACAAGAGCGCATTGTCCCAACGGAGCACAGTGCCCCACCATAGGGCGCTGGGAATTCAATTCGGCCGGACTACACCGTGGTTACGAGTGCCCGAGCCACTATCTGAAGGTTTTGAGTTCGAGAAAATGTGGTCAGTGTCGAACCAATGATCTCTTGGGAAAGGGGGAGGTGGTGGGGTGGGGAGTGATAAAATGAGCACTGTTGTTGTGGGAAGAACACAGTGGTTTTCATTTTAGGTAAACTGGCCCTTGCCATGGGCACGTGGAATTAACACCGTTGGCTCAGGGGCCACGAATGGAAACGAACAGTGCTCCATTGCTCCTTTGACCAGAGTGACACTTTTGACTTTGATTTCAGTTCCACACTTACACGTAAACGTTGTCCCAAATCGCATCATCCGGGCAATGCACCGGTGCGTCAATACTTCAGTGGATCGAATTAAATCAGAATAAGCCTGGCAGCCGACGGTGTCTATACAAGAGATACAGACGTAGGATTGGGGGGAGGAGGGGGGAGGAAAAGAACAAAGCCCGTATGGTATTTGGAGAGAGACAAGGCACCATGTGTTGAAAGGGGAAGGCAGGTCCCGCACTGTAAACTCCCAAAGACAATGGAGGCAAGGCATCTCAGGATACATGTATTTATATGTACAACATGCTGTGTGTGTGTATATTCACATATATACACAGTGTATAGATGTGGTTATTTTAGGCAAGTCTAAGAAAGTAAACTCAATAGGGTTCTCCATAATTTGAGGTTTTACAGCAGAAGGAATTAGAAATGTTAAGTTAACAATGAAATCAGGTTATATTACTTTAATCTACATCAAACCTCATTCCTGATAACATAACAAACAAACCTAATATTGTTTTATATTTTTATTATTGTATTGTTTCCCTTCTACGTGACTTTACCGAAAGAACCAAGAATATAAATCCCTGCAGTCACAAAAGCTTTAAATCAAAATTTAAACCTAATATTATACAGGGATGCCCAAATTTCAGGACACGTAGGGTTAATTATAATATATATCGTTTCACAAATCACAGAGAGTTATTTCAATTGTCTTTCCGTTTATAAATATCTGAAAAGTAAGAAGAAAAATAGATTTTAATGATAGATTAAATTATAACTTAAGTCATTAGTTTTAACTGTTAAAATAAATGAATGAACCCTGTGTGTCCTGACTTTTGGGCCACCCTGTATAAAATGTATTATATATTCATTTGGGGGATGTCAACATATCGTGGATTGTGTATTACATTTAGGTAAAATGACACTGCTATTATTATTAAAATACAATTCTCTGTCCAATGACATGCCATGAAAATAAATAATGAACACTGAAAACCATCTCAATATTAAACCACTTCCACTGCTTGCTCTTTAGTAACCTATCTCATGGGTAACTGTTCATGTGCCAATTTAGAGACTGTTCATCTAGAAACATTCTCAAAATGTAATTTCTATTAAAGCCACCATGGTGCATCGTGCAGTCTCTAACCATAATTCATTCATTCTCTCTCTTCTGGTCTCAGTCTCTGCTATTAAGGGCCATAGCCTGAAAATTTGCATAGCATATATTGTTTTCCCCGTTAAGTGATGACTGTGTTGGCAGTGTAACTGATGGATGCGTTGAGTTGTTGTTGTTAAATTCTCGAGCAAGTCGACCACAAGCACGTATGAACGTATAATAACTATTTTTTTTGCAAAAGGCGCTGGGCTAAAATGTGACCTTTCCCAAGGATCAGAACCCAAGTTCAAAGGAGAGTGTTGCCCCATGCTGATGCCACCAGCTCTCATTCTCTATGATCACTCAGGCTCAAAGATTCGCAAAGCTCAATCCCATTACAAAGCTCCTGCGCATTTAGAATTTTTTTCTTCTTTTTATTTTAAACACAAAATCACTTTACGGTCAAGAGTATAAACCTACAATAAAAACCGTTGCCCATTTCACAGATGCTTGCACCACAAAGAAAGGGGTTTTTTTTGTTGTTGGCAATAGCTTTTAAAAATAAATTACATTTTTTAAAGAATGTTTTTCTTCTGTTGAATTTTACAGGCTTCGTTACATAACAGCGTGATGGCTAAAGCGACGTCAAAACACTTGGCGGATGAACGATAGCTGTATTTAAAATCACTCCGTGAACAATGTTACAAAGTGATATTTGCACAATACCAAGAGAAGTAACATGTTCGTTACATATATTGAAATGTATTTAACGTGACTTTAAAGAAAATAAGTTTTGCAATTTTAAGATAGGACAAATAGCACACTTTCATTGTGGTAAAAACAGAAGTAAATAATCACGAAACACTTGAACACAAAAGGACCTTACGCTCGTGGTCAATCTCTCTCACACAAAGGCATTGGAGGATACATTTTAATTTGAAAACAGCAAGAAAAAAAAACAATCACTCACCTCCATTAAGTTCTGCATGTTGAACTTGGGCAACTTAAACAAAATATTACTTTACAAAGTAATTAACAGACATCTTTGCCTTATTGAGCCGAGGCCGTTTGCCCGTTGCCGCCTCCTCCTCCTCCTCCTCCTCCGCCCAGCGTGGGGACAGAGACAGCCGAGCCACGAACGCAATTCCACCGCCGGTCGCCGACTCGTTTTGCGCTCAACCCTCCCGGGTTGACCTCCTTTCCCTTAACCCCCCACCCCCGATCCCAGCCCCTTACCAGCCCCACCTCTACCCCCCCCGCCCACCCCATGACGACCAACCCCCGCGGCTCTCTATTCAAAAGCAAATCTGAAGCGCCGGTCTCCGGGGCCGGTTGCCGCGACAACTGACAGAGGGAGAGCGGGGGGGGGGGGGCGGTGGGGGGGGCGGTGGGGGGGGGGGCGGGTCCCCCCCCCTCCCCCCCACGCTTTCAGCTGGCCACCGGACCGTGCTGGGAAGCCGTGGCGAGACAACAAAAAAGCTGGCGCCGCCGGGGAGAGGGCCACGCCACGAGCCCCTCGGCCCGACATCTGCCTCAACTGTGGCTCCCGCGGTAGAAATCCCACGTGGCCCCCCCCCCCCCCTCCCTCGCCAGCCCCCCCGCGGCACGGGTGGCGCTGGGTACGCGGCGGTGCCAGCTCGACAACCCCCGAGGAGGACCGCTTCGCGGCGCCGGGGGAATAAGGGAAAGTGCGACGCGCACTTGCTCGCGCTTAATGCGATTAAACGATCGGGATGCCACGTGTTCGTTTTTTTCGCGATTCGTTTTTTTTTATTGTTTGAAGCTTGTTTTAAAGTGCCGCTGAACCTACGGCGGTTTGGTCCCGCAGAATGAAGGGTACCGCGTGAGGGTTTTCTCTCCCAATGCACTTTCGCGTCGTTCGGCACGATGTTCCGACGTTTTCGCTCCACGTGCCGGGAGATTCGTAGTTGACTGAAGCTCCCAGCACACGGAGCGAAACGTTGGACAACCCGTCAAACAACACGTGTGGTACGCCAGGGAATTATATCAGTGGCCCAGGGAATCTCCCCAAGATTGACAGAATGGTGTGCATCCCTGTGTGCGCACGCTTCTATACGTGCCAATGAATCAGTGGTACCACGTATTTGATGTAAATAATTTACAATCTTTACATACAAATGCAATTGTTCGTTTTTTATATTAAGCTATGATATCTGTATATAAATGTCAAACTTGAGTTTTTTTAAGTGGTTATGAATACCTTGTTAAATATTTAATGTTGCGGAACACTGGAAACCACAAAGGAATTATTTCTTTAAATATCAGCGATGCTCAACTTGGGGCGGAGTCATGAAAATGAAATAAAAAAACGGCAATTGGCTTTCGGCAAAGCGCTTTGATCTTTCTGAAAACGTTGAAACGGCAGAAAAAAAAACCTTAATTGACCACAATACAACAGCGGAATGTTTTGAATTCCTTTGCCTCCACACGAGTGGGCCATCCAGCAGATGGGCCTCTCGAGCCCCCCCTTCCACCACCGACCCTCCCCCCCCCTCCCCCGCGTTGAAGAGCCGCCACTCATCCTCCTCCTCCTCCTCACCTTGTCGACGAACTCGTGGAGCGTGGCGGTGTCCTCCAGCGTCCGCCTCCACGCGTCCCTCCGCTGGGCGAGCGAGGCGAGCTTGGCCGCGAGCTCCTCGCGCAGCGCTGGCAGTGCCCGCAGCTCCGCGAAGCCCTCGTGGGAGACGCTCATCTCCTCCGCACGCCGCAGCAGCCGCTGGCCCACGGCGCTCTTCTCCTGCGGAGGTGTCGCGGCGGCGGCGGCGGCGGCGTTAACTACCTCGCCTGGTGTACAGGAGGTCGGGGGTTCGACCACGACCCTGATGCCTGTTGTATATTTGGAGTTTGTGTATCTCTCTCTCTCTCATCATCATCATCACGGTGGCTAGGAGATGTTGACTACCTCGCCTGGTGTACAGGAGGTCGTGGGTTCAAACCCGACCCTGATGCCTGTTGTATATTTGGAGTTTGCGTATCTCTCTCTCTCTCTCATCATCATCATCATCACGGTGGCTAGGAGATGTTGACTACCTCGCCTGGTGTACAGGAGGTCGTGGGTTCAAACCCGACCCTGATGCCTGTTGTATATTTGGAGTGTGCATGTCTCTCTCTCATTATCATCATCATCACGGTGGCTAGGAGATGTTAACTACCTCGCCTGGTGTACAGGAGATCGTGGGTTCGACCACGACCCTGATGCCTGTTGTATATTTGGAGTGTGCATGTCTCTCTCTCTCATTATCATCATCATCACGGTGGCTAGGAGATGTTGACTACCTCGCCTGGTGTACAGGAGGTCGTGGGTTCAAACCCGACCCTGATGCCTGTTGTATATTTGGAGTTTGCGTGTCTCTCTTTCTCTCTCTCATCATCATCATCACGGTGGCTAGGAGATGTTAACTACCTCGCCTGGTGTACAGGAGATCGTGGGTTCGACCACGACCCTGATGCCTGTTGTATATTTGGAGTGTGCATGTCTCTCTCTCATTATCATCATCATCACGGTGGCTAGGAGATGTTAACTACCTCGCCTGGTGTACAGGAGATCGTGGGTTCGACCACGACCCTGATGCCTGTTGTATATTTGGAGTGTGCATGTCTCTCTCTCTCATTATCATCATCATCACGGTGGCTAGGAGATGTTGACTACCTCGCCTGGTGTACAGGAGGTCGTGGGTTCAAACCCGACCCTGATGCCTGTTGTATATTTGGAGTTTGCGTGTCTCTCTTTCTCTCTCTCATCATCATCATCACGGTGGCTAGGAGATGTTGACTACCTCGCCTGGTGTACAGGAGGTCGGGGGTTCGACCACGACCCTGATGCCTGTTGTATATTTGGAGTTTGCGTGTCTCTCTCTCTCTCATCATCATCATCACGGTGGCTAGGAGATGTTGACTACCTCGCCTGGTGTACAGGAGGTCGTGGGTTCAAACCCGACCCTGATGCCTGTTGTATATTTGGAGTGTGCATGTCTCTCTCTCTCATTATCATCATCATCACGGTGGCTAGGAGATGTTAACTACCTCGCCTGGTGTACAGGAGATCGTGGGTTCGACCACGACCCTGATGCCTGTTGTATATTTGAAGTTTTCATGTCTCTCTCTCTCATCATCATCATCACGGTGGCTAGGAGATGTTAACTACCTTGCCTGGTGTACAGGAGGTCGTGGGTTCAAACCCGACCCTGGTGCCTGTTGTATATTTGGAGTTTGCATGTCTCTCTCTCTCTCTCTCATCATCATCATCATCACGGTGGCTAGGAGGTGTTGACTACCTTGCCTGGTGTACAGGAGGTCGCGGGTTCGACCACGACCCTGATGCCTATTGTATATTTGGAGTTTGCGTGTCTCTCTCTCTCATCATCATCACGGTGGCTAGGAGATGTTGACTACCTGGCCTGGTATGCAGGAGGTCGTGGGTTCAATCCTGACTCTGACGCCTTCTGTATATATGGAGTTTACACGTCTCTCTCTCTCTCCCTGTGGTCGCGTAGATTTTTCTCCAGGTCCTCCGGTTTTTCCTCTCTACATTTCTAATCGTGCGTTTCGAGTATTTGGCTGCTATAAATTGCCACGTGATGATAAGCCACTTTGTTGAGCTATCATTGTTGGCCAGGTCGCTTCTGAGAAAGAGCTATATATCTCAGTGGGCCTTATCTGGTAAAAATAAAAAAAATTGTGAAAATAGTTTGTGAGATAATTGACTTGATTGGCCAAAATAATCACACCCAAAACAATATTATTACTAATAATGGGATATATAAGACGATCTTTCTTCTATGCCCTCCACATAGGAATACAAATAAATTTACATTAATCGGATGAAAACGTGCAAGGTAACTGGCATTGGCCAAATATCCAAATGATTGAAAAATATTCTGCACATTGCTCAATTGGGATTACACACAGCAACATCACCGCCCCCCCCTTACTTTGAAAACTTGTCAAGACCCTCCTGGATAAGGAGTCTTGATACTCAGGGATGCTTCCCTTGGGTAAAAACCGTAATATTCAGCCTACTGTCTATCCAGACAGTTTTGTTGTCATGTGATGTGACACGGTTTTCCTAGCTTCCTGGATCTTGTCCTGAAGATGCTTTACTTAGCCTCAAGTGAGAGGTAATGTGTAATTTTGGTTGTGAGCTTACAAAAAATAAATTTGGTTGTGAACTTACAATAATAATAATGGGCACATGAAATTCCTATACAAATGATCATTTTATTAGTTTTGCTAGGTCAGGTGGTGGAGGCTCTCAAGACATAAAATGACCGGATCATTATGTAGCCTAAACCAAAAATCTATTGTGAATTTCAGTATTATGATGCAGCATTTGTTTCAGAAAACAAACTTTGGACTCGTTTCGACCTTCTGGGTCTCCATCGGCAGAGTCCAGTTTGTTAAACAAATGCTGCCGGGTTACCAGATGTTATTGGCAAGGGCGATTTCTTTATTTTATTTTGTATGCGGAGGCCTGGACTTTTGCTCAATGCACGAACGTACCCCCATAATGCTCCGCTCACTGTCACGTGTCTCAAATCTGAGACGTGCGCGCGGGGTTCGCGTCGCTACGCTTACCCCGGCGCGAGAGTAACGTCTCCCCACCACCTCACCAACGGGCGCCCAAATATGTTTTTTTTTTATGCACACACGAACGCCACTCCCGAAGAGGCCTCGTGAAATTCAATACGCGGTGACTTCAGATTCTGAACGAGCACTCGCGGGGCCAGCAGCTGCGCGCAGGCCCACACGGCGTCGGGCGCCGGGGGCGGGGGGGGGCAGCACTCAGCGGCCGCACTCACCGTCGCAGTCTGGGCGAACGCCTCAAACGTCCGGCGAGCCTCCTGCAGCTTGTCCATCGAGTCGCCCGGGACGCCCAGGGACGACGGCTCGAGCTGCCCGTCCACCGCCAGCCACCTGCACAGCTGATCCCCCACCCCCCAAAACACCACCGCCATGGGCAAACAAAACGTAGATGAGGCCGCGCGACCTTAATGCGGTGTTAATTTAGGCGGAATTTGATTTGGTCGCAGTCTCGAGAGCCGTGTTCTCAAGTCGAGGCTTAGCTCAGGCTTGAACTGATCAGTTGCTTCTCCAGACGCATGAATTGGTGGCTCAGCCATGGCCTGGCTCAGCTCTGGCTCAGCTCATGGAAATCCTAAGCGTGGCTGGGACCATGCTCAAGAGTCGGCTTACTTGAGACAGGCAAGCCTGAGCTGAGCCGTGATTCAAGGCTCACGGAGAGGAATCGTGAGGCTCTCAGAGTGCAGCAGTTGGTTCGGGGCCCACAATCTCTCACCGAATGCTTCCAAATCCAAGGCCATCCTGATAGGCACCAGACAGCGACTCACCACATCAACGCTCCCTTTCTAGCATATTAATCACCGGCTTCACTATCAATTTCTCCGACCCACTTCAAGTTCCTCGGCGTCAATGTTGACTCCACCTTTTCTGTCGACGGTTACACTGCCCACATCAACAGATCTCGCAACTGCCACCTCAAGGCCCCCTCTGTCGTGAACGTCCAAGCTTCGTCACCACCGACATCGGCGTCGTTTTTTCCGTGGCAAACCCCGCCGTCTGGAACGCCATCCCACCGCACACCCGCAGCGGCGTTCGATCTCCACCGACTGCACGAGACGCTTAAAGGCCACCTCTTTCACCTCTTTTGAGCGACACCGAGCCTGGCTACGCACCACAAGAGTCGCGGTCATTTGCGTCCGCAAAATATTGTGCGCGTTTGCAAGTTGTATTGTTGTTGCAATACAGGCCTTAGTCCAGTCTATGACAACCTGTGGAATTTTAGCCAAGACTTTAGATTGTCCATTTAATTGTCAGCCTCTTAAGTTTATTCAACTTGAGGAGTCATAACTGGGAGTTCACACTTAGTTATTAAACGTCGGTGTGAGGGGCGTGCAATTTCACCCCTCTCCAGCCGCCCAATATTATCAGATCAACCAATCGGTGAACTCATTTGGTTGATGTACATAAGGCTGGAAGTACCCGTCACTCAGCTACGACTCCCCACCTCCAACCACCTCCAACATCCCCATCCTCCCACCCATGTGCACCCCCCCCCGCCCCGTCATGTGTGACAACCCCAGACCCCCCAAACGCCAGCAATCGCCCCCCCCCCCCCATCCAGCCACCCTTTGTGCACTCTTCCCTTGGCCTCACCCCCCCCCCCCCATTGCTCCCCACCCCTGTACACTGCGCCCCTCCCACCTGATGTCACACACCACAGATGACACAAGGGTAGAGGGAGCCAATCACAGGCACGGTGGGCAACACGTGGCCCTCAGAAGGCATGGCGGACAGACACGCCAGTTTTTGTTCTCATCGGGAGAATGTAGCCAGCTGCCGTTTTTGCTCTTCCTAATGCGCCGCAGCCTTGAATAACTTTACTGAAATCATCTTGATCTGCGGATTAATTTTAGAGTTTGTCTCATCATAGTCGTTCATGGCTAGTTGCAATCATCGTCATGCTTGATGATTTTCGTTCACTCCAAAGACGAATATTCGCATCACCAATTTCACGAGCAAAAGAAACATCGGTTTGCCGAAAACCATGCAACTGAAATAAGCAAAACGGAGATTTCCACCTTGTGATATTTATTCCACCTCTGTGAAGTCGGGGAGTAGAAGAAAAATGTGTCCATAGGCAAGGTACACAGCATTCAAAGATGTCCACATTGTTGTGGCACGTGGGTCCTCACCTCTTGAGTCTCCTCGCGAAGAGCCAGGAAGTCGGCCAGGAAACCCAGGCGATGCAGGCTCTGGTTTGACAGCATCACCAGTCCGTGCACCAGCTCCTCCACCTCGCTGTACAGCACCGTCACGGCTGCCATCGCATCCCTGCCACAAGAACGCCGCACAGTTCCCACGGGTCAACAACGCATGGCTTCTGCAGGCACCAGCAGAGATCCAGGCCCTATGCTCAGCTAGGCCTTAGGGGTCGTCCATAAATGACGTCACGCACCGAGGAGGGGAGGGGGGTCAGACATTTGTGACGATGTGTGACGAGGGGGGGAGGGGGGGTTTGAGAAATGTGACGTCACATCAAAATACGCAACTTTAAATAAATGTTAATTAAATAGAATTGTTATAACAACACTAATTTTGATTAATTTTCATTAATAACTATTTGATTATTTACTTTGACTAAAGTCACCTTTGATTTATGCCATGAAGGAGCATTTTGCTTCTCCATGGGAGAATGGAGAAGCATAAATTTTGTAGAAATATTTAATGATTGTTATTAAACATTTTGATTCTAATGATTCTACCAGGGCTTTTCATTCTGTGGAATGAATATGTGATGGTTATAATTGTACTCTCCATTTTGCTTCGTTCTACTACAAAGTTTCAAGTATTTTTTATAGTAATAATTCCTATTAATATTTTATAATAAGATAATTTCAATATAATATCTGAACATCTGCAGTTTTAGTTAGATGTTGAATATTTTCAAGTGTATTTTATGATAAATTTCAGCTTTCCAACACCTCATTTTAATAAATGTTTTCTCCTAGAACATCAGAGTGCAGCGCCACATTAAATATGCACTACAATGACAATAGTTTAAAGTGATTTGAAGCGTGTTTTATTTTCAAAATGGAAATATATGTTTTTTTGGGGGAGGGGGGGGGGCAGAGCTGTGACGTCATATTTGAGGTGGGTTTGACTTTTTGTGACGCCGTGTGACAAGGGGGGGAGGGTCAAAAATCGGTCAAAATCGACTGACGTCATTTATGGACGGCCTCTTACCCTGATTGGTCACCTTAATCCACGATCAATGCACAGCTGGATGAAGGCCTCCTTTCGTATGTATATTGAACTTCTTTCGCACCGTACATCGCCAACCGGGCTCATCAATACAATCCACTTACCACCTGCTGGTAATCTGATGTAATTGCTCCATCTGCTCAGTTGATGTCCTCTCAGATGCGTTCCATTTCTGTGCTGCCACTGTTATTCTTTTTGACCAACAGCCATCATCGCTTAGTGACCTGCCTCAAGCCCACTAACATTTCTGAACAGATACAATTAAGTAATTAACCTGTTACTATTCTCTAATCCATGCGTTCCTCTTTGTCTCATACCTTTGTTGGTAAGAAATGACAATTTGCACATATATAATTGCAGCTATGCTAGCATCATGGTGGCAAGATGTTAACTACCTTGCCCGGTATACAGGAAGTCGTGCATTAAATCCCAACCCTGACGCCTGTATATTTGGAGTTTGCATGTCCTCCCCGTGCTCACGTGGATTTTTCTCCGGGTCCTCCGTTTTTTCCCTCCACATTTAGAATCAACGTGTGTTTAGAGTATTTGCCTGCTATATATGTCCATGTGATAAGCCACTTTTGTGGCCAGGTCGCTTCTAAAACAACAATCCACAGTTTGACTGACCACAGTGCACACGGTGAGGGCGACCTTTATCCAGCAGAAGACCCACAAATGGCTCTTAATTAGCGTCAATTATTTATGTTTTCAACATTTGGAATAAGTAAAACAACCGCTATGATGATTTGTCATGCTTTAACACAGAGAGACACTTCTTGTAAACTGTAATAGCACAGATTGATGAACGCATTCCCGTGCGAAAAACGTTTCGCAAAACAAACAGCATCTCCCACAAACGAGGACCTGGATCCTCCACGCACATCACAGTGGTGCCCATCCTACAAAAAGAAATCTAAACATAGCGCGAGCGGTTTTCTCGAAACACTTAGTCCACAGCTGTGTGACTGTGTGCACTGGCACGGCATGAAAACGACACGCGGGGAGAAGCAAAGTGGATCAATAAATAAAAGCGTCCTTTCAGATTACGCACACCGGACACACTTTTGTCCACACAATATTCCATTTGGGCAGGGGGTCCATGGTAGGGAATGAGTTTGAAGGTGGGGGAAAGAGCAACTATCCCCCCCCCCCACCAAATAAAATCAATTCTGCCCCTGTGATAACTGCTAGAACTGCATTTATGATTTACGTTTAGTTTGTCTTTTCCACGAGTAATCTATTCAACTATGGCTCTATTTTACCAGGTCAGGCCCCACTGAGCTACGGAGCTCTTTTTCAGAAGTGACCTGGCCACAAATAATAGCTCAACGAAGTGGCTTATCACGTGGAAATGTATAGCAGCCGAAGACTCTGAAACGCACGTTTCTAAATGTGGAGGGAAAACCCGGAGGACAAATCCACGCGATCGCGGGGAGAGAGACATGCAAACTCCAAATATAGAGGCGTCAGGGTCGGGACGGAACACACGACCAGGCATTTAACGTCTCGCCACCGCGGCGAGAAGAATGGATGATGCTGGGACTCGGTATAACAAACATCCCCCCTAGATGGCATGAGTGAGCTGTGACAATCGCCTTCAATGGATGGACGAACAAAGGGGGAATGGATGTGGGGGGGGGGAGGTAATCTTTCGGTTGACTGGTTCCCATTCTCAAAGGCTGACAGCAAACTCTGAGCTGTAAAGGTGAAAGTAGGTCATCTGTGATTATTAGCCCTGTAACTACAAACAATTGGTGTGTATGCGTGACTGTGTAGCTCCGTGCGTTAAAACGTGTGTTTGTGTGTGTGCAGGAATCGACCCGGGTTCAATTCCCGCTCACGGCCAGCACCAGTGACGATTATCTGAACCGGTCTTGGGCCTCCCCTATGTCGACTCAGCCTCAAATGAGTACCTGGTGCGATGTGTAAAAATCGCCACTGTGGAGACAAAGGCGGTCGGGCGTGGTGCTGGCCACCCACCCCCTCGTGTGCCGTGCCGGCCTTCATAGGTGCTCGCTTAAAGCACTTGCCCCTACAGTCTGTTAAGGCTATACGGGGGATCTTTGTCTTATTGCAGGGAGCAGGAGTGCAGTTGGTTCGCGAACTGCGCTACGAACCAGGCGAGCAGAGTTTGATGCCAGCTCACGACCAAAAACAGTGGTGAGGCCTCCCCCCCCAATGTCGACTCAGTCTAAAATTAGAACCTGGTGCAGCGTGAAAATACCTGCACTGGGGAGACAAAGGTGGCCAGATGTGGTGTGGGCCACCTCACCCCATCACTTACCCCAACGGTCTGTTAAAGGCTTTCCAGGGGATCTTTGACTTTTTTGCTGTGCATGTGTGCCTGAAATGAGTACCTTGTGCGGTTTGTATTTAGGGTATCAGTATTAGGAAGGACAGTGTGTCCGGGTGTAGGTAGCATTGGTCATAATCACCTGCCCGTGAACCGTGCCTGCCATAATAGGTGCTCGCTTTTAGCACTTTCCCCACAGTGTGTTAGGGGCAACACGGGGGATCTTTGTCTATTTTTATGGAAGGTGAGAGTGTAGTTGCTCGCACACTGTGCTGAGAGCACACAGTTCCTGGCTAAACACAACACCAGCCGCATAGCAACTCAACTTAGGTTAGGCCTCCCCTGGGTCAACTCGGCCTTAAATGAGTATCTGGTACTGGGTCAACAACTTCAAGGAAGAGCACAGGGCAGCCAGGCATGTCTCCAGCCACAACACCTACTCACCATTTGCTCACGAACAGCTCGTATGCTAACAGGCTATCAGGCTGCATGGGGGATGTTTGTCTTTGGCTGTAGAGGTATATTTTCATTTACAAACACTGAATGGAACACACCTGCAGGGACACCCACTGAGGAATTGAGATCAGGTTACATCAGGTGCTGTGTGAATCATTGCATCGCACGATGGTGAGAGGTGGCGGCGGTTTAGGGAGGCCTTCATCCAGCAGTGGATTGATCATGGCTGATGATAATCGTAGACATTGGCTCATATGCCATATGTGGCCTATGCTGGGCAAAAAAAAGTGCATGCATTTCCTTTGCTGGCTGGCTGGCTAAGAGCCCAGCCGAAAAATACCTTGCCAATCAGCCGGCTGGGTCAGTTGGCGAGTTAACTGTCTGGCAGGCTGCCTAACTAACCGTCTCACTGGCTGTCTGGCAGCCAATCAGCCTAGCTAAGCAGCTGCATACCTTGCCAATCGGCTGGTTCACTGGCAGGCCATCTAACTAGCTGGCCGCTCCACTTGCCCATTGGCAGGCTGGACGAGACTGGCCCAATCGGCCTGGCTGACTGGCTAGATATCAGTCGGGAGGGTGCAGGCGTCACCGGTAGTCGGGGGAGGCGGTGACGGGGGAATCCTCGCGCTTGAGCCGTGCCAGAGCAGCGCCACCCTCCCGTTGCAGCACCACGAGGCGCGAGTCCTCCAGCACCCGCGCCATCATCTTCCGGTGGCGCTCGGCGACGTCCCGTGCCTCCTGCCACGGAGGGCACGCGCAGAACGAGCGGCGATCACCGACGAGAGCGGGCGGCGATAGTTTACGCGACCGGGTGATGACGCCGTGGGTTCGTGTGTTCTCGACGGTAGAGGATAAATAAATGAAAGCAACGTTTCATTTGTCCGGTACTGTTATGCGGTGTAAATCTGGCCAGGTGGTGCTGTGAGTTTAAATCAGTGGTCCACTTCTCTGCCCATCATCCATCCGTGGTTGTTAAAATATCAACCACTTTGTGCCGAGTCACCTGTTCTCTTCCCATGGCGATTACTGCTCCCCTCCACAGGAATTGTGGCGAGATTTTTTCTACCTCGTCTGATATACAGGAGGTTGTGGGTTCGATCCCGACCCCGACGCCGGTATATCTGGAGTTTGCGTGTCTCTCTCCCCGTGGTCGTGTGGATTTTCCTCCGGGTCCTCCGGTTTTTCCCGCCACATATAGAATCATGCGTGCAGAGTATTTGGCTGCTAAAACATTCCATGTGAGAAGCCACTTCGTTGAGCTATCGTTTGTGGCCAGGCCGCTTCTGAAAAAGAGCTATAACTCTGTGGGGCCTTACCTGGTAAAATAAAAAATAGTTTACTAATAGTTTTCATTTTATAATCTGGAATTTATACAAACAGATCAGGAGATCAATGCCAACCCGTGGGGGGGACTTCGACAAAACGTGACAACACAATAACTGTTTTGACCGCCTCCTCACACACAAACGTTTCTCTCCTCCTCTCACCGATATAAATATCGTCACTTAAAGCTCTATTTAAAACCCACGGCGTCGCAGGCCCTATTTGTCGGGAGAAGGACTACGGCGGGTCAAATCGCGCCTGCTGCGATGAACTCCCCGGGCACGCAACAGAAAGCGAGCGGTGGAACGGAACCGGCGGAGTGGGGGGGGGGGAACGTTCCCGCGGGTTTACCTGCGCCGTCTTAGGAGGGGGACTGTCGGTCAGCGTCTGGATGGAGCTCCGCAAAAACACGCCGGCTCCCCGGCACGCAGACAGGAAGGGCTCCAGCTTCTGCAAACAAACGGCGTAACAAAGGACGGCCTCGCGCTTGCACGGCAAAGTCATTTGGGAAAACTGTAATAGTTTTTCGGCAAAGTTGCTTTTTTTTTCTCCTTTCAGTTGTCTTTGGCAAAATTTCAAGGGATGAATTAAGGACACCTCCGCTTGGGAAAATGCAGCCCCGGAGCGGGGACTGAAAGAATGTCCACATCACCATTGCTCAACAACAATGTAATGACTCGAGTTCTATTTATAAATCGGGGTATTATTTTTGGTCAAGTAACAATGGATAATTGGAGTATGTGAAATATGTGGCAAGGCAAGTCGCGTCGGTGGCAAGGTCAATCACTGATAATGCTGCTGATGCCATCGTGCTGCCAGATCCTTATGCTGTTGCAAGGTCTGCTCTTACACGACCCCCACCATCTGGCTTTAGGCCTTAACCTTGCTCGCTGAACCCTGCGGTACCACTCCCGTCTTATTAATCTCCACAACTCCCATTAGCGTGGTTGGTTAAGTATGGTGCAAAATAAGTTTAACATATATACGTGTAGAGGACAACATTCTGATATTTACTGTATATTGACTGTAACGTTTTATTGCAATTTAGTCCACTCATGACTGAAAGCTTTCGTGACTCCAGGAATTAATATTCTTGGGTCTTTCGGGTAAAGTCACGTAGATAGGTTCAAGGAAAATAACAAAAAAAATAACAAAAAACTACGACGTTATTTTCTTTCAACCAAATAAACACAACCTGAAAGATGCATAAGACATCCTCAAAGGGCAAACTGAATAAGTTCACCAAGATAGCAAAGAAAATACGTGACGAAGTTATTCTTTTTGCAGCTTTACAGCCCTTCTGGAACACAATAAGGATTTACATCACTTACTCATGATCAACATACGAAGGTGAAAAGACGTCATCGTGACCGTGAATAAAAAAAAGAACCACACCAAACAAGTGGCCCCGGTGAGGACACAACGCTGGAAGGGCTGAGGGCCAGTGGGCGAGAAGAATTGCTGAGCGACAGGCAACCAAGTCTGCGAGGCGTCACGCGCGGCAGTGCCACGGGGGAGGCATCAGCATGCGCCTAGTTGTGCTACGTCATCACCTTTTGCCGAAAATGTTCATTAATTATCGCCATTTTTTTTTGTTTGAAATCGGCAATCTTTGGATAACCATTGAATAAACTTGCCCAGCTTTCTGAACTAAAATGTCACTTACGTTGGACGACATTTACAGGAATTTTCCACGGCGCCCACGTTACAGAGGCGGACGGTGAGACGGACCCGAGAGCGCTGAAGAGACGTCGCCCCTCCACCCAAACGGCGCCGCTCGCCTTCGTCCAGTCCCCTTGGCGTGGCGTAAGCAGCGCGTGCTGTTTCACGTCTCACTTCTCACCAGTTAGCCGGACCCGAGGAGTGGTCCTCGCTCTCCGAGGAGTGGCCTCGCTCCGCTACCGATCGTTGCGGCCGGCGATGCCGCGCGCGAGCGCGCCGGCTTGGGGGGACGTGGGGCCCGCGGCTGCGCCACGCCCAAGGTTGGCTACGTGCGGCGCCAAAGAAGTTCAACAAGCGCACATACATACCATGCGGAACGTGAGCCAGTCCTCGTGGCAGTAGGGGTGCGTGCCCTCGAACTCCTGCGGAAGCTGCGCCGGATCAATGTGCTTGTAGAGCGATTTGAGCGACGTCACGATGTCGTACTGCGGAGAGGAGCAAAGTCGGACCGGACCCCGTTAACAGAGTTGGGAAACACGGCAGTGCCTCGCCGCGTGGTCACGGAGCAAGCGGCAGGAAGATGGAATCGTGCTCTGTACGTACGTTGAACCTCTTTTGCACCGATCGTAGCCAACCGTGCGAATCGGAGGTGCGGGAGTAGGACAATAAACTAAACGCAAAAGACAGATGTAGCGAAATGGGTGTTCAATCTAGATTTAAAAGTGCATAACTCCAGTGGCTTCCTAATATGGGAAGGAAGGGCATTCCAGACGGCCGCAGAAGCGCATCTGAAAGCGTGCGATGCGGTGACCATCTTTGTTCAATGGCAAATTAGCCCAAGTCCCCCTTCGTATTAATGAATTAAGCCAGCACTTCTAAGCTCTCGAGTGTAAAGCTTCTGGGGTAGACGTGGTTCTCAAGTTTAGTAGTCCAGTCATTGAAAAAATGCAACACATCTTGAATCCCAAGAGAGTGGTGCATGAAGCAAGTAATGGGCATTATGAGATTGTGGATAAAGAAGAGGTATTTTTTATTGTTATAATGAAGAGGAAATTGAAAGAGAGTATTGGAGAGGGGGGGGGGGATGGAGGCAGCCGGGCAGACTAAGGGCTTTCATTATCCAGTGTCCGTGTTAGTGCCCTGCCCCGATTGACTGTTGACTGTGTCGTGTATAAATATGTACACACACATACATAGCATGTATAGTGTGTATCAGGACAGTGTTAAAGGCATTACCATTACAGTATTATTTTAACGGAAATGACAGCGCGCTGGAGTATGTGACCCCATTCAGCCTATCGCATTGGCATCGCACGGTTAGCGGAGGAGTCTCAATAGAAACGCAGCCAGATTGGCGATGAAGGTGCAGCGGAGGCTTATGTGGAGGGATGAGTGCCACGGTGGCTAAGAGATGTTAACTACCTCGCCTGGTATACAGGAGGTGGTGGGTTCGATTCCGACCTTAATGCCTGCTGTAAATTTGGAGTTTGCGTGTCTCTCTCTCATCATCATCACGGTGGCTAAGAGATGTTATCTACCTCGCCTGGTATACAGGAGGTCGTGGGTTCGATTCCGACCCTAATGCCTGCTGTAAATTTGGAGTTTGCGTGTCTCTCTCTCTCATCATCATCACGGTGGCTAAGAGATGTTAACTACCTCGCCTGCTATACAGGAGGTCGTGAGTTCGATTCCGACCCTAATGCCTGCTGTAAATTTGGAGTTTGCGTGTTTCTCTCTCTCTCATCATCATCACGGTGGCTAAGAAATGTTAACTACCTCGCCTGGTATACAGGAGGTCGTGGGTTCGATTCCGACCCTAATGCCTGCTGTAAAATTGAAGTTTGCGTGTCTCTCTCTCTCTCATCATCATCACGGTGGCTAAGAGATGTTAACTACCTCGTCGGGTATGCAGGACGTTGTGGGTTCAATCCTGACCCTGATGCCTGTTGTATATTTCGAGTTTGTGTGTCTCTCTCCACGTGGTCACGTCGATCTTTCTCCGGGTCCTCCGGTTTTTCCATCCACATTTAGCATCAACATCTCACGTTTAGAGTATTTGGCTGATATAAATTTCCACATGATGATGATAAGCCACTTCGTTGCGCTATTATTTGTGGCCAGGTCGCTTCTGAAAAAAAGCTGCATAGCTCAGCGGGCCTTAATTGGTCAAATTAAAATAGTTTAGTCAAATAGTTGCGTTTAGAGTGAGGTCTGGTGCAACGTGGCCAACTTGGGTCTGCTACAACACCCCTCAACTTAGGCGTCTGCAGAGATCAGGTCAGAGAGGTCATCCCAATAGCAGAAGGCATGGTTGAAAACAGCCACGCAATTATGCGTGGACATGGACAATTGCACCAGACAGCTTGTACTAACCAGGCTACTGGCAGAGAGCGGGCATGCTCGGCACAATAGTTCTTACCCAGAGGATGCAGCTACCCTCATGCACATGTGCGACAACGTAATAATACATTGGAGGTTTGGAGTTTAATTTAAATGAATGAGCCGAGGGGCTTGTCTCTCTCTCTCTCTCTCCCCGTCTCTTTCTTGCCCAAACTTGTTTATGCCATTCATGCCAATTAAGCTGCTGATCACGACTCTTGGATAACAGTATACTGCCGTGGCTATGAACTTGACACACACAAGAACAAGACGGCACATCCACATTGGGGGGGCCACGCACAAGATCTACGGTTGGGTCTGGGTCTCTGCCGTTTGCCCTCGTAAGCCGAGGCAACCCAGCGGTGACTTTTTTTGAGTTGCCGATTTTAAAAGCGGTAGCCGGCAGGACGGTCAACTCATCGGTGCCATGAGCCTTTGGTCTGAAGAGTTCTCCTGAGCATCGCGAGCCCAGAACCAGGTTGGCCATCAGCCAGCTCTGCCGTTTAAGACACCAGCCGCGGCCACATTTCTCCTAGATGGGTTGACTCATCGAAGTGTGGTGAGCAAAAGCGCAACATTTAATGAGTTAGTGGCTACAAGATCACTGTGGTTACAAAATACCAGTGGTTAAACATTGTTGTGTGCTTTCCCTCCATATGACACATTATCAATCAAGCTACTATTGTGCGTGTGTGGGCAACTGAATAAGTACAGCTGCTGGGTTAGAATATATAAAGGCAACAAGGTCAATGAACTGTATTTCGTGCAAACTTGAAGGGAAGACACCACAATTTGTGAAGTTTGCGAAATTCACGAAAAAACACACATATGCGTGGTCAAGAATGTTTTCGAATCAGAGACACGAAGAAAGGTCAGGACAAGCATTTTGAAAGTTCCTACATATATAGAATATATATATCTATGGAACCGTATTGGACTGCAAGAGAAAAGTGCAATGGCTTTCATGTGATCAACCAAAACATTAATTGAATATGCCGGTTGATTGCAAAATGTTACAAATATAATATGCAAATGGAAATTCTAATCTACATATCAAATATATAGTAGATTAGTAACCATAAAGAAATCTTTTTTTTTTCTTTAGCAGTTGATTACTGAGAGATACTCATGACACACATATTGGATATATGTACGTGCATAAAAAACTATTACTCAAGGCATTTATAAAGCAAACAATTGTCCTATATTCACGTGTCATTGGGGCTCTTGGGTTGGACTTAAGGCGGCACGACCGGAAATCATCGATTGCCCTTGCACATGTCAACTCACCTGGACGACTGAAGACTTTTCCAGCTTAAAGGAGGGCTCTCGATCCACCAGAATCAGCACCGAGTGCAGGCTGTTGGCGATCGTCTCCTGAAAAGAAATGTCAGGGAAAAAAAAAGGAACCCCAAGGGTCAGTGCTCAGCGTAAAAGCCACGCACCGTTCGCTGAACAAACGCCGCTGTCCTGCATGGGCAATGAGCAAAGTTCCCCATTAAACTTGAGCCAATAAATGCCGTGGGTCACGCTAACCCCCTCCCCACCCCTCCCATCAACTGTGCTGCACCCATTGCATCTCTTCCGTGACCAATCGAGCACCAGTTGCCATATCGCCCAAACGCCCATCACTGCAATAACTCGGGTGCAATTGGCTGGAGAATGGCTCAACGGTTGTAGCTCAGACGTGAGATTAGGGTGGCGAATAGTTTCGTAGCCGTCGAGGCTTGATTTATTCATTACAATTACATCAAGTGCGTTCCACTATAAATTTCTGGGGGGGGGGGGGGTGTGGGAAATATAAAAGTGGTGGTCAAAGGGATAAAGGCGCAGCCCTGAAATTGCTCGCTCATGCCACTGCTGGAAGGGCCCCCACTAGAGGGGTGGTCCAGAGAGCCCCTCCAACAAAATGACTCATGTTAATAATAATAATATTAATTGATATGTAAATACCAACGGATAGTGATGAATGTTATCGATAGCCTATGTTTAAAAAACGTAAACACCTATGCAAGAATACTTAATCACAGGACTGCATAACACGGCGTAGGTTTTTAAAATATATTTTACATCGTTATCATTCACGTGGCAGCTGAAAACAAGAACAAACGAATGCACACTGTACGCACAGCACGTAATAATGCAGGTTTATCATTTGTGTAATGTAAGATGTTTTAATGCTTGTGCGAGTGCAGCGAGGATTTGGCAAGCCTAACGGAGGCCTTCCCATGTCTGCGGCCAAAAACCTCACAACGGTGGGGGGGGTGGGGGGGGGAAGTCGAGACAGGAACCAACTCTGTACGGGTCGACAGACATCGCGCGAGTCTCTCACCGCACTGGAGGGGTCAGCGAGTTACAGCGATTTCACGAGAGATTTAAATCCTACAGCCCCTGCTTTTGGGCACTCGCAAGCTGGCTGAGAGCTCCGCATTCCGGCCAGCCAGCTCAAATGCTACCCCCCAAATAAAAAAAAATAATAAGCACAGATTCCGAGCCCAAGGACATGACGAGTCTGTTGTTGAAACATATGGCAGCACTGCATAAAGGGATGTAAATGAAACAACGGTGACGCTTAAGTGACCGTAAACATGTGGAAAGCTACGTCGCGCTCTCAAATGTTATCACTGCGTGAAATCATGATCTTGACGGGGCAGCGGGCTTCTCGGATATTTTTTTACTGATGCGCCGGACTCGGGACGCTGCCGTTGAACGTCTCAATCCACAGTGAAGAGACACAGGAAGGAGAGGCTGGGGCAAGGGCAATGATTGTGAACGTACGTCTTTCAATGTACTCTCTATCGAGTTGAACCTGCCTAAAGTGACCACTTGTAGGACGTCCAGGTACAAGATGGGTCACTGACGCACTTTACTTCAACACCGATCCACAACGTGCGCAGCCACTGAAAACCACGACGAAGGGAAAGACGAATCCAGATCATATGCTCCAGGGTTTTACAGAGTGACAGAGATATACAGTATATGCAAAGATGCATACATGTACGTATAAAACAAGTTAAGAGAAGGTGCAAATGTGATTTTTTTTGACAGTTGTGTACTGAGTTCGCTCAAGTAGAAGCGATTGAATGGCAGCATACAAACACTTGGGTGAACTGTGAAATAGAGGGACATAAACTAAATTGATTGTTACTTGTACAGGATCTACTGTGATAAAACTGTTTGTGAGGGGTAAATGGTTATTTGTGTGGTCTTGGGAAGTAGAAAGGGAAACTGTTTACTTCCATGCTCTGTCCTTGCGAGTCACCCTTCGTAAATGTTATTACAATCTCGTCATCGGCAGGTCTAATTTTACTAATCGAGTACTGAAACGAGGTTTTTGAAACGAAAGAATCATGCCAACATACCCATGTAGCCTACCACAAAAAAATGTACGCAACAAACAAATACAATTAATTCGGTGTGAATTCGGGAACAGCTGCCGTGTCCCAAATGATTCAACACCTGCTTGGGCGATCACTGAACAAAGATTCGTCTGTCCGGGGGAGAGAGAACATCTCAAGAATGGCCAGCATCGCAGCGACGACGTTTAAGGAATGCCGCCAAAGAATCTGCTCGGCGGCCGGGGGGAGGGAATGTGGCTCAGAAAAAAACAAGTGGATGAACGCGCGCGGACAGCATCCAATCAACAGGATATGGCGGTTTCCACTTTGAACCACGCACTCGGCCTACGATCCCGCGAGACAACGTGCAGTGCCGTTGCCGTAAACAGGAGACGGGAACAATTCCAACGGCGAGAATTGTTCGCAGTGTTCCAAGGTTTAATGTTGATATATCTGTGTACTACAGCAAAAATATGTTTCAATGATAGCCATCAAAAGAGCATCCCTGCATGGGATGGAAACCATTTTGGCAATGTGCGTTTGACTTTCAAAAACGCTAGGGCAAGTTGTTTGAAAGCAGGCAATCTATAGGCTTTGTGGTGCAGTCGGGCGTACACAAGTCACTGTACCATTTGTCATTAACTCAATGAAAAGTTGACACCGGAATTCTAAGGTTTTTGCCATTGCAGTATTGTGTTTTAAAATAACGTTTATACTCTTCTTTGGGTCTTCCGTTAAAGTCACGTAGATAGGTTCAAAGAAAATAAGTTTTTTGTTATTTTCTTTAAACCTATCTACGTGACTTTACCGAAAGACACAAAGAATATGAATTGATGCAGTCACGAAAGCTTTAAGTCAAGATTCAACGTTTATACTGCAGGTCTGGAAATGATAGAGCAATGCTAGTTATGCGTTAAATAAGAAAACAAATTCCCCGCTCGTTCATAACAAATGTGAAAAGTGACACTGCTGCACGCCTTACAAAGCAGAGTTTTAAAAGCTTGACTGAGTGCATTGCGATTGGCAAGAGGCAGAGAGAAGGCTTTGAAATTAAATGTTGCATTCTCTCCACGGGGACATTCTCGCGATTATTTTCTGTGGGATATCTAGATGGGCATCACCCGTACAACTGACAACATTTACGTAAATACGAGCAAGAAATCGCCCTCTATAGTGGCAGGTACACAATATTACGATTGCAATTCCTACCGTTAAAACCGCCAAACGTTCACAGTCATATCCTGTACATGATCAAGAATACAATTTTCCTACCCCTTTTTTAAATCTATCCAATATTGGGCTGGTTGTCGCCAATCTGGCTCTCGCCTGATGAAGCTAGTTGCAATTACTGGCGAAACGTCGTACTCAAGATTGTAAATGTTGTGGCTTGGCTCTCCCACACACCGGTGTGCTGCACTAGTAACGAATTTAAACGTTCTATTTACGTGACAAACCTTGGCTGTGTCGGGTGGTGGCGGGTTTAACGACACATTTATACATTTGCGCAATCTAACCCAAAAAAAAACTCTATTATGGATCCATCCAATATTCTTGCCCTCCATAGCCAGCAGGCAATACTATCCTTAATGCCTGTTCATTGCGAATTACAGCTGTGCACGCGAGCTTTGGCCTCTAAGCCTTAACGAAGGCACCCAGGTGTCTACAATTACTTACAGGGCATTCCATTCTCTGGGTACCCTGCCCTAATCACATTTTACCGACCCCCGCTGTGTCCATTGTTGTGCGCAGTGAACCGCGTGTCAATTCTATGAATCAATTACTGCGCCTAACTTAATAAGGCCAGGTGCCCCCCCCTCCCCTTCCTCCCACCCCTTCAAGAGATGCGTTACAATGTCAACTTCCTGCAGCAGGTTACAGGTTGCAAAGTTCCAGGAGGCATTTGTGCCCAGCTGTAATTTTATTACGGCTTTTCTTATTTCCCGTTGCAAGCGTTTCCAAATGCAGGCGGCTCGCCAACAGGTAGAGTGCGCGCGGCAAGCTGTAATGGAATTCGTGGAGGAGAAATTAAAGAGTCTCCCAGTTTTGACCAATGTTTTTACATTCGACGGGCTGCATTAACCAAGACTGCCTCCGTCAATTCCCCTTGGGCGTTTGGCTCTTCCGCAGCGGTTCGGCAAAAAAGGATGAGCAGATGTAATAGCTTTAGCATGCGTTTGCGTATATATGCACTCGGAACTGTACACGTTGCATACTTTCGTCCTGAATGTTTGCACACGCGCGCACGTTCGACGGCACAGCTGAGCAACACGCTCCGAACGCTTTTGTGCCTCTGGAGCCATTCCAATCGGAAAACGTTCCCCCATTTGCGAGCCGACGAAACACGTTCGAAAGCGTTGGCGTGACGGATAACTTACCACGGAAGGCGGCAGTACGGAAAACGTATGTCCACGCGGCACAGCAAAAGCAAAAAAAAGCAAAACACGGCCTGGCGCGCTGCGAAATTTAGCTTCTTAAACAATCAAACTGTTTGTTTTTTTAATTCATTTGCTATCCACGTGTCCGAAGAAGTGATGAGAGCTCACCTGCATGGCGGTGCAGGCCTTGAACAGGGCGGGCAGAGGGTGAACCTTTCTGGCGTCGACGACCACCGTGAGGCCCATCTCGCGCACGGCACCCCTGCGCACGGAAGGAACCGCACGCGCGTACCCGCTCCATTTTTTTTAGGATGCAATGAAAAAAAACGCCTGAAATAAATCACTTAAAAACGCTCAAGAGATGGTTTGGCACCGGAGTGTGCGCCGGGAGGCAGAGCTGGGTGGGCGACGCACCTCCGACGAACACGGTTGGCTACGTACGGCGCGGAAAACGTTCCAACGAACGTACATACAAACATAAGTACGTACCACCGCGCGTGGCCTTTATTTGACAAGAATGGGGGACACGCGCATCGCCTGCCCATGCGTTTAACGAGTGCGGACATATTACTGGCGTGCTCCAGCCCGGGGCACGCCGAGCCAAGCGCTCTCCACGGAGGTTGTCGGCACAGAGATTAAAATCCATGTCGTGTGTGGTGGCTGAGCGCCGACTCGCCAGCCTACAAGTGCAGGCCGTTTCCGTGGCTAATTAACGATCAGGAGGCCACTGGATAGCGAGACCGTGCGGTGAGGCCAGATTCATCAGGGCATCGTCTGTGGGGGGTGGGGGGGGGGGTTGTACAGGTGTACGCTCTGATCGCCAGGCGGATTGAGACATTTTTAGGTTTGGAGATTTCGCGCGGGAAATACTCCCGTGGCTCAGGCCCCCGAACAGGAATGTATTGCCCATTCTCTGAGACACTTGATCGACGTCTCGTATTGAAGGTCAGGGTCTCAAACTAAAGCCATGTTGGGTTTATTTGCAGCCAAAGTCTACGTACGACCCTAGCAATAAGCCATTCGAAACCACGTTGATATTTTGCATACACAATATGTAACTGTGCCGATGGAAAATAATACGTGTCCAAAGTTAAAATATAGTGCAAATGTAACCCACGAAAAAGCACTGCTATGTACGGTGCTTCAAATGTCTACTTTGGTTGTCATAACTAAAGCTTCAAAGCACACATTCTCTATATAGCATTTACTAACATTGTGATGTGTGCGATGTCAGTTTCTAGAGATTCTGTTGCTAATTTACACGTTTTTGTATTATATAATTTTGCACGGAACTAGGATCCACATCGTAAAGAAACGGGTCCAGAGTTTGCTTGTCTTGATTCAATGATGCTTATATTTTGCATTCCCAGAAGGCCGTGCGGTTGATGGGTTGTTTAAGACACTTTTATATTTTTTTACGTGGCAGAGAAGGATACGTGAAGGGGACGAAAGATCTGCTGATTTATTTTGTTAATATTCTCCCTAATGATGCCAATGATTATTTGAACTTGCCAGGTTGGTACCACTGCACCGACACACTCAATCGAAATATGTCGGCGCAGTTTACATTAGTCCATACATAGAGAACTTCAATTGCCTAGGCCAAATTGCCCCGTTATTGCTGACGGAGATATCGGCACATTTTTTGGGGAAAACTGCAAACAAGGGAAACAAAGATCCACAAGTGAACCTAACACATTGCATCTAAGAGTTATGAATTGCATGAACATTCAAGCAAGGGTGATAGAGCATCCTTCCAGATGCCTACTGAAGGACACTGGGCACCAATGCAATTACGTCAAAACCAGAATGCTTGTCCTTTGTTTATTATGGATGTATATTGAACTTCTTTCGCACCGTACGTAGCCAACCGTCCTCATCGGAGGTTGCTGAGCACACAAAGCCTCAATGTCCGAAAATCTCAGTGGCCAGCAACAAACAGCACCATTTAAGGCAGTGTTCTTCAATAATAATCAGGGGGGGGGGGCACTTGTCCGATAGAATATCAGTGTGAGGGCCGCCACACGTTTGAAAACATTTGGGGTTTGACAGCAGCACGATGCTGATGGGGGGTGTATTCACAAGTTGTGTATTGTTGGGGGCCGCACGTTAGGGGTCGCACTGAAGGCCACCAGGGACCGCCAATGTCCCGCGGGCCTTGCAATGAAGAACACCGATTTAAGGCAGGGGTCCCCAATCCCCGGGCAGCGGATCGGTACCGGTCCGCGCCCTGTTAGGAACCGGGCCGCACAGCAGGAGGTGAGAGCGGTGAGTTCGCGCGTGGCCAGCCCCCATTATTTTATTTATCACGCGTCTCTTTCCCGCACTTCGCACTTGTCTCAGTCACAGTTTTGGTAAGCTCACAAGCTGACCCCTAGCAGCCACAATGAGTACAAAACAAACGTCGCTGGAAAGCTTCTTTGAAAAGGGGGAAAGACCCAATGATGACCCCCCCCCCTCCCCGGTCCGTGAAAAAATTGTCTTCGACGAAACCGGTCCCCGGTGGCAAAAAAAGATTAGGGACCACTGATTTAAGGTCTAACAGATGAGTAAATATGTTTCTCTTTTTAATTGAGGAAGGCTAATCGATTCTAGATTTGAAGCTTTCGTGACTGCAATGATCCATACTCTTTGGTTCTATTCGGTAATGTCACGTACGTGACTTTACGTACGTGACTTTACGTACGTGACTTTACCGAATAGAACCAAAGAGTAAGGCTAATCAAACTTGGGGGGAAAACAGAAACGTTTTGACCTGTGGAGTGGGGCTTGAACACAGCCGGTGTCCGGCAGACCGTGTCCTAAACACGAGGGGAGGAATTTTGATTTAAAGCTTTCGTGACTGCAGTAATTCATATTCTTAGCTCTTTCGGTAAAATCACGTTGAAGGGAAACAATAAAATAATAAAATATATATAAAACAAATTCTCACGACGTTTCGACCATAACACAAACGGTCATTACACCTGATGATGACCGTTTGTGTTATGGTCGAAACGTCGTGAGAATTTTATTGTTTTATATATATTTTATTATTTTATTGTTTCCCTTCAACGTGATTTTACCGAAAGAGCTAAGAATACGAGGGGAGGAATCAACGAGTGACTTTGTTTGTGGGAACAGTTTCCTCGGTCGTGGCAATGGAAGAGTGATTCGGATGTGAATGACCGCTATTGAGCGAGTGATTGGCTGGAGTGAATCCTAATCATGCTGCGGTGTTCATTCAGAAACAGTCTCCCGGCAAAGCACAACAGCCCCGACTTGGGGTCTCTGGTCCCCACCCCCCACCACCAGCAGCACCACCCCCAAGTGTGTATCCACACGCGCGTGTGTGGACGTCCTCTCTCTCTCTCTCTCCTTCCCTGCCTTGGAGGCCGGGTGTGAAATCTGACAGGCCACCAATATGATTAGCACCACGCCCCCCCCCTGACCCCCACCCCAGCTGTCCATCCACCTGAACAAACACGAAAGCAATTCCCCTCGCAAAAGGCCCCCACGAAAACACCCCCACCCACCCCACCTCCATCCCCTTTCCTCCCTGCCAGCCGCCCACCGGCCAGGCCAAAAAAACTTTTCCACGCATGATGGAAATAATTATTTTGACACGAGAACAACAACAAAAAAAACCTCCTCCTCCTCGGATTGAGACTGACATTGTGCTGCCCAACACGGATCCCGCTGCACGCCACTCATCAAGTGTGCACCGTCACGCCGCTCTGGGCCACAGGAAGAAGACGGCGTGCACTCAACGCAAAACAAGATGATCACGGCTAGTTACAACTGTGCACAATATTTAAACACTCGACAATCCGTTTATTTTCTATATGTCACGATGGGATGACATTCAAATGTCTGCACGGATAGGTCAATCGGCTACTTGCTCCGTCGCAGCTGCCCGAGTAAAACAAAATATTGAGCAAATCCTCTGGCCAGACGAGCCAAGAAATTTCGCATTTTCTACGGACCACATCATAAGCCCTGGTAGTGGGGTGCCGCACGTACACAATGATCTCTCGGTGATCCGCCAACCTTGCTTCACGGTGGTACATTATTACAGCTGTGCGCTGCCATTAACGATGTCATCGTCCAACGCTTCTCTGCTCCATAGACAACACCCCAAGCTCCGCAGGCACTTCGGTGTTACGGCCGCATCAAGTTCACCGCTGTGCTCTACAGCTCTCGGGGGAGCGGTGAGTGGAGTGGTCAGAGCGCTGCTGCGCTACGAACCCGTCGAACCGAGTGTGATTTCCGCTCACTATCCAACACCAGTGACGATTATCTGAACCGGTCATGGGCCTCCCTTAGGTCTACTCAGCCTCAAATGAGTACCTGGTATGGCGTGTAAACATGACCACTGGGGAGACAAAGGCGGACGGGCGTGGTGTTGGCCACCCACCTCCTCGAGTGCCGTGCCAGCCTTCATAGGTGCCCGCTAACAGCACTTACTCCAACAGTCTGTTACAGGCTACAGGGGGGATCTTTATACTGGTAGGAACGAAGTTGTAAACTGAGTGTACGAGCCTGCAATAGATGAATGTGTCCGTCCGTCCGTCCCCTTTCAATACTTTAACGAAGTGAAATCTCGTGCTGTTGGGGTGTCAAAATAAAATTGCGCAAAATTCCAATGTTCCCACCAGCCCACCCTGCAGGGGACCTGTTCTTTGCTGTATTAGCTCTCTCGCGGTGTGTTCTCAGGTTGTATCGCGCGTTGTTCATCACAGTGTCCGACATATTTCTCCACGTGCTGCGGGGGAGCTTCTTCCGGAACGCACTCAAGCTCCCGGCACATGGAGGGAACGATCAAGAAATCACGCCGAGCAAAGCGCAGCACAACCCGAAGAAGCCACATCGGAGGGCCGCCCCGCCCCCCGCGGTGTCCGCCCGCTGCGACCAAAAAAAAAAACCACCCCGAGATCGTCGTGGAGCGCACGTACCTGGAAATGGAGCGGAGGTAGAGCAGGAGGCGGCACAGCTGCGTACTGCAACAGTCGGGGTCGAGCCACGCCGTGTTGCGAGCGCACACGACGACGACCGCGCGTCCCCCTCGATCCCGGCTCCCTGTGGGGTCGGCGACAAAACAGTCGCCGCTCATCGCGGAGGCCACTCGACCAACGGCCCCCCGAGCGCCACGGCTGCTGGGCTCGCCGTTGCTCATTCCAGCGACGACTATCTCGGGAGCCTTTCGGTCGACGACGAACGCGCGCGCCGTCAGTTTTTTTTTTAAATTTCCGAATCGGACTCGGAGGAGGAACAAAGTAAGGCAGATTTTGATTTAAAGCTTTCGTGACTGCAGTAATTCATATTCTTAGTTTTTTCGGTAAAGTCACGTTGAAGAGAAACAACAAAATAACAAAATATATATAAAACAATAAAAAAATTATCACGACGTTTCGACCATTTGAGTTATGGTCGAAACGTCGTGAGAATTTTTTTTATTGTTTTATATATATTTTGTTATTTTGTTGTTTCTCTTCAACGTGACTTTACCGAAAAAACTAAGAATATAAAAAGTAAGGCAGCTTTATCAGTACCAAGGCTCCCACAAGGCCATGCGGGAGGGGCGTGCGGGACAATTTGGCGCAAGCTGTCATAGAGTGAGGTTGTGTCGTTACAATTCTCGGTGTTGAGTACGATGCCTTTTAGAACAACGGCGCTATGCCTCTATGAGTAAAGTTAGCGCTAACCGCTTGCGCGAACCGAGATATTAGCGGTGCACGGGATTGACCCCGCAACTTACAGACGTCTCGGAATGGGAAATGGTTAATATGTAAGTAGATTGTAAACATATACAGTGAGGGGAAAAAAGTATTTGATCCCCTGCTGATTTTGTACGTTTGCCCACTGATAAAGAAATGATCAGTCTATAAGTTTAATGGTAGGTTTATTTGAACAGTGAGAGACAGAATAACAACAAAAAAATCCAGAAAAATGCATGTCAAAAATGTTATAAATTGATTTGCATTTTAATGAGGAAAATAAGTGTTTGACCCCTCTGCAAAACATGACTTAGGACTTGGTGGCAAAACCCTTGTTGGCAATCACAGAGGTCAGACGTTTCTTGTAGTTGGCTACCAGGTTTGCACACATCTCAGGAGGGATTTTGTCCCACTCCTCTTTGCAGATCTTCTCCAAGTCATTAAGGTTTCGAGGCTGACGTTTGGCAACTCGAACCTTCAGCTCCCTCCACAGATGTTCTATGGGATTAAGGTCTGGAGACTGGCTAGGCTACTCCAGGACCTTAATGTGCTTCTTCTTGAGCCACTCCTTTGTTGCCTTGGCCGTGTGTTTTGGGTCATTGTCATGCTGGAATACCCATCCACGACCCATTTTCAATGCCCTGGCTGAGGGAAGGAGGTTCTCACCCAAGATTTGATGGTACATTGCCCCGTCCATCGTCCCTTCAATGCGGTGAAGTTGTCCTGTCCCCTGAGCAGAAAAACACCCCCAAAGCATAATGTTTCCACCTCCATGTTTGACGGTGGGGATGGTGTTCTTGGGGTCATAGGCAGCATTCCTCCTCCTCCAAACATGGCGAGTTGAGTTGATGCCAAAGAGCTCCATTTTGGTCTCATCTGACCACAACACTTTCACCCAGTTGTCCTCTGAATCATTCAGATATTCATTGGCAAACTTCAGACGGGCATGTATATGTGCTTTCTTGAGCAGGGGGACCTTGCGGGCGCTGCAGGATTTCAGTCCTTCACGGCGTAGTGTGTTACCAATTGTTTTCTTGGTGACTATGGTCCCAGCTGCCTTGAGATCATTGACAAGATCCTCCGTGTAGTTCTCAGCTGATTCCTCACCGTTCTCATGATCATTGCAACTCCACGAGGTGAGATTTGCATGGAGCCCCAGGCCGAGGGAGATTGACAGTTCTTGTGTGTCTTCCATTTGCGAATAATCGCACCAACTGTTGTCACCTTCTCACCAAGCTGCTTGGCAATGGTCTTGTAGCCCATTCCAGCCTTGTGTAGGTCTACAATCTTGTCCCTGACATCCTTGGAGAGCTCTTTGGTCTTGGCCATGGTGGAGAGTTTGGAATCTGATTGATTGATTGCTTCTGTGGACAGGTGTCTTTTATAAAGGTAACATGCTGAAATTAGGAGCACTCCCTTTAAGAGTGTGCTCCTAATCTCAGCTCGTTACCTGTATAAAAGACACCAGGGAGCCAGAAATCTTTCTGATTGAAGGGGTCAAATACTTATTTCCCTCATTAAAATGCAAATCAATTTATAACATTTTTGACACGTGTTTTTCTGGATGTTTTTTATTGTTATTCTGTCTCTCACTGTGCAAATAAACCTACCATTCAAATTATAGACTGATCATTTCTTTGTCAGTGGGCAAACGTACAAAATCAGCAGGGGATCAAATACTTTTTTCCCTCACTGTATGAGAGACATGGAAACACTTCGAATTATGCAATTGTCAGTGTTAACAATTGCAATCTGGGTTTATTTAGTAAATGCAACTGCATACTAACCATTGAAGTATAATACATTTGTCTTATCACTTAAGTTACAATTATTTTCGATTGAGGGAGTAGTGCTATTACACACTACAAGTAGCACACTCTTGAGAATGATACAGTGCATCTGTAAAGCCCATTTTATGGCAGACACTGCCATTTTGACAATAATCCAAACAATGACTTTATGGAAACCACTTAACCTGTATGAAGTGGCTCACTTATGATTACACTGGCCTTTTCTCGCCAAAACGTTTACAGTTGAGATGCCAAGCCAATCCAAACCCTAGGCACCATTGCTTTCTTAAAATAACCTTTAATGGCTATAGATATTAAAGGCATTCATTTGCACCAATCAGTAATTCCCACAGCAATATGTTGTATCCAAATGCTCAAATTGCAAATGCGCTTAATTCGCTGTGTTCCCCGTCTTTTGGTGCCTCGAATCTTCCCACTGAAAATCCATTCCCATAGTCATTCTGTGCTTTAAATTGCAACACAAGAGTTAGCCATTGTGACTCCGTGGCCTAATAAGGTCATTGGGACGTGACTGTCTGATTTTTCGTCATGGATTTTGTTGGTGATTTCCTCCCGTGGCTGAGATAGATATTGTTTGTTATCACGGTGCTGAACACAGGCTCCAAAATATCAAGTGGCCAGCGACAAACGGCACTTAAAGGTGTCATAATCATTTAAAAAATATATATCTAAATTGAACACGGAAAAGAGGCGATGCGAAGCAATTCCAAAATGCAGCAGTGAGAGGGACGGAGTAGAAAGATAAGTGGTGTGACCTGCAGTGTGGTGAGTGAGTGAGTTGTTGTGACCTGCAGTGTGGTGAGTGAGTGAGTTGTTGTGACCTGCAGTGTGGTGAGTGGGTGAGTGGGTGAGTGAGGGTGTTGTTGTGACCTGCAGTGTGGTGAGTGGGTGAGTTGTTGTGACCTGCAGTGTGGTGAGTGGATGAATTGTTGTGACCTGCAGTGTGGTGAGTGAGTTGTTGTGACCTGCAGTGTGGTGAGTGGGTGAGTGGGTGAGTGAGGGTGTTGTTGTGACCTGCAGTCTGGTGAGTGCGTGAGTTGTTGTGACCTGCAGTGTGGTGAGTGGGTGAGTTGTTGTGACCTGCAGTGTGGTGAGTGAGTTGTTGTGACCTGCAGTGTGGTGAGTGGGTGAGTGGGTGAGTGAGGGTGTTGTTGTGACCTGCAGTGTGGTGAGTGGGTGAGTGAGTTGTTGTGACCTGCAGTGTAGTGAGTGGGTGGGTGAGTGAGTGTGTTGTTGTGACCTGCAGTGTGGTGAGTGAGTGGGTGAGTGAGTGAGTGAGTTGTTGTGACCTGCAGTGTGGCGAGTGAAAAGTATGGTGGATGAGATGAAACAGTCAGTGTGGTAGACTGAGTCCTCAACACGGGTGAAGGAATCAACGAGTGGTGGGTTTATCCCCTTTGAGACAATCTAACCCACCATGCACTAAAGGCATGAGCTACATTCCATTAAGGTGTTGCTGCAGATGGTAACGACAATGGAAGTCAATTACGATGAAAGTCAATAACGGCAGAAAAATTAGATGTAAAAACGTGCATCGCATTTCTGTTAAAAGCCATTCCATCCGGTTTTACAAATGGTGCACTTTTAAGATGGGATGCAGCGATGAAATAGTGGTGATGTAATGCGCTTGGCAATACGATAAGTGTACACTGTATGGTGTTATGGAACACTGTCCTGCGTATTCTGCATGCAGGCGATGTTACATTAACAGAAGAGTCGCACAAATGGGGATATGTATTATGTCTTGAGACATTTGTGTTCACCCTCTTTTTACATCTGAACATGTTCGGAAGAAGACTGCACCTACTATGAAAGTCACTCCAGCGAAAGGCAGCATGGTACGAAAAACAAACATTTTTAAAGGTTACATAAACACAACGAAGATAAATAGAGTGCCAGTAAGGCTGTTAAAGCATTCTTGACCATAATCGTCATACAAATGTTAAATAAACATCTGTTATGAGAGTAATACATGTGGCCTCCCCATGCCGCGTTCATCATAGGCGTTATATGACCATACCTCACCACGCTGGTCAGTGTGGGTTGTGAATGGCGTGGCGCAAGTATCTCTTGCCACTCACGTTAGCTGTCACTGACAATTAAGCTCAGGTTGTTCAGTTCATAGCTCAGTATTCTTAACCACTGCACCCACCACTCTCTCCTCTCTTTGATGATCATCGACATCGTCATAACATTTCATATTCGCATAACACATTCACATGACTTTTAAATAAACTCAGCAAACGACCAATACGACAAATTGTAGGAAGTACATACAAAATACAGCATTGCTAAATAACTTTTGATGGACGTGCAACTTTATTTAAATTCGCCACCCATCAAAAAACGTGCCCGCCGAAAAATCACCTCGCCCCGGAAATCTGAATCACGAGCGGCGGACGGATCCGTAGGCAACGTTCGCTTTTTATCAGCCGAGCGGGGCGTCACGACGACAACCGTAGGATCTGTCGAATGCGGTGACGGCGTTTCTACGTTTCACGCCGGCAGCGTCGCCGTCGCCACCGTCGCCGCCAGAAGAATAATCGAAAATTCAGTGTGTAACAAAACATTTCTTTTTTTAGGTTTGTTCCTGGGTTAGTGAGTGTTATTTTCCAATTGCTTATGCCTCAAAAGGTAAAGAAGATGGCTATTATTCCCCACAAACTTTGCTTTTGTGACCAGGACACAAAAGCAAAGTTAATAATCCACTCCATTAATAACACTATAACAATTTTTTTTTTTGTTCCTGGGTTAGTAAGTGTTATTTCCTAATTGCTTATGCCTCAAAAGTACAGAAAATGGCTATTATTCCCCACAAACTTTGCTTTTGTGACCAGGACAAGTGATATTTTGACATTTACCTATTTTCAATGAGAAAACGTGGCGTGCATTTGTGTCTTTCCTTCACGTAAAGTCCCGGTCACGAAAGCAAAAGTTCGTGGGGAATAATAATAATAATAACAACAATAGCCATTTTCTATACTTTTTGAGGCATGAGCAATTCGAAAATAACACTTCCTACCCGGGGGACAGAAATCGTGTTGCATAGTGAAACTGGCGCCGCAGTTACCGGTGAGGTACGCCACGCCCGACTTCAGCAGCTCGAGGCTCACTTGCTGCCACTCGGTGGGGCAGCCCGGCGCGGGGCTCGCCGCCTCTCGCTCCGGAGAGCCCCGCGGGCGCGCGCCGCCTTTGTCCCCGGCCATTCCCTGCGCCGCATCCTCGTCCCCCTTGGGCCGATCGCTCGCGGAGCCGCGGGGGTCCTGGCGACGGTCGGCGCCTTTCTCCTCCGCGTCGCTGGCCGCGCCGATCGCGCCGCGCGGCTCTGTGGGGGTCGTTGGGAGGCACGGCAGGAGGGTTTTGGTGGGGAGTGGTGGTGGTGGTGGGTGGTGGGGGAGGTTTTAGCGCACGGACGAGTAATTTGCGCGGCGGAGAAAGTCGCCCCGACCAAATAGGGTGCTCGGGGAGTGGTTTTGCGTGTGCCTGCGATGTCATGCACTGCCGACAGACTCGTTGCTACTAAAACAATATTGGTTGCGGTTGTCTCGTGAACTCTTGAGTGGCCAATGAGTGAAGGGAATAGCGTTTCCAGCACAGGGGCTTCCCGTCAGGATGCCTGCCTGCACCCCCGCGCCAAGTGTACGCTTTTATGCGTTTGCCATTCTAGAATGAAATTGCGCTTCCTCTAAATTAAGGCCACCTCCAAGCCTGCCCTCTATGTCCACGCGACTCTCTTGTAACAAAGCAGAATTCTACAGGCAAGCAGCTCACAAAAGGCTCCTTATATGTACTGCTGTTTAATATTGGAAACACTTTAAAATAATGGTGTGTGTGTGTGTATATATACAGCACAAGTAGTGTCAGGCCCCTGCTTTGCATTGCCTTCAACTACTGCCAACAGTGAAAACGGTGACATTTCAGCCTGAAACCCCAATGCTTCACTCAAATTCAATGTCGAATTGTTTTACCGTCATGGATATTCAAGATCACAAACAAGCAGGTCTTGTGTGAAGAACGACTTTTCTTTCTGTCGATGGGCATTCCACAGATAACGAAGGCTCAGTGGACAAGTACTTTGCTTTGTAAGTAGGAGGTTGTGAATTTGACTCGCGCTTATTGGAATGTTTAGTGATCGCTGGACGCCTCCGTACTGAGCTGTCACAAACAGCTCCTGAGCCGAGTGTCTGAAAAGCAACGCATCGCTTGGCATATGCCAACGGTATCCTCTTACAATGTTTTATTGTACACTCCATACATTATCTTGGTTTAGTAATGCCGCGGTGGTTAGCGCGTTGCACTGTAAACCGACAAGACGATATTTGAACCGGCCCTGGATGCCCCCCCCCTTGGCAACCCACGCTGAACAGCATGGGTGAAGTATGGTTAAACAACCACGATTACTGACTGATGCAGTGTGGGGAGGCTCCAACCCTGTAGTGGATTGACAAATGTCTGAAAGGTATCACTGTTATTTACAATTCATATGCCACTGGTTGCTTATTCAGATCAAACTGTCGAAGATAAAGGCATAAAGGAATGTGTGTATGAAACTGTATTAGTATTCCAAATATTTAGTTAGTATGTCAAAATTGTGGAAACATGTATTATGCTAAGAGCGTGGGTGATTTTAAAACAATCACATCATGACGTGATAAAACAATACAAGACAAAGTGGACGGAAGACTAATAAAACAATAAATAACACACATTAAAATATATGGGAACAGAGTTGTTTCCAGTCGGCAAAAATAACGTGAGCATTTCCTTTTGCCAAGTGAGCTTCCATTGTCTGGCCAATATCACCAGGTGTTCAGGCTTAAGAGTGGAATACCTGCACGATAATTATGGAGGAACCATTTATGGCGTGGCACTTAGTGGACACAATTGTGTCCAACGAAGAAGACTCGCCGCGCTGTCATCCTGGATCAGACGAGCACTATGGTGATGAATGGGTATATGACCTCCAGACTAACCAATTTAAAAAAAAAACATGGCAATGATGGGCGAGCGATGCGTGACCAAACAAACAATCGAGGCAAAGCGTGGAGGACAGGGCGACTACTAAGAGTGCACGTGATGCGGATTAAGCCCCCGAACCAGCAGCAAGTTATCCCCTCGGGATTTGAAATCACTTCAATTCGGTGATGATTGGTTGAATTAAAAACTGCTTAATTGTTTTTATTAATATTTTTTGTTTCTGTTTAATGTAAGTTATTGAAGCCTACGATGAAGGTCCAATAATGTATGTATTTGCAACTAATGTATTATCAAAATATATAATCCACTACTGGATGAAGGCTTTTCCACACCATCCCCATCCTACAGTTCCTTAATGGCACAATCCAATCCAGTCAGCGCAAATAAGCCGATCTCACACTCCCATCTCTGCTGCGGTCATCATTTGGCTGCCATTCCATCAAAGTTGATCAATCTATTTAAAAATATATAATCAAACAATGTGTTGTTGTTCTTGTTGTTGATCACTTGGGCCGCTTTAAATTGATGACCGCCAAGACATCCTGCCTCGCACAGGAAGGCGGAAGACCCCCTAAAAGCCACACCCAGTGTGATATCCACCCTGCGCTTTCCATCCAGCAGTACATCTGGGAAAAGAGACGACAATTTCCACCCCCCCCCACCAACTACGTTTGTATCATTTGATCACTGTCGTCAAATAATAGAACTAATAATTGGTAGAATAATCGATGACTTTAAAAGGTCCCGATGCCCCCCCCCCCCCCGCTACTGGGATCGTGCGCTGTCACCATCCTAGAACCTCACCCCGGATCGGGAAGAATGCCGGCGATCAGAATGGAACACCGTGGATGTTCACAATAAACACATAATCCAAGACCCAAACATCGCACCTCCTGGCTTTAACATTCCTCCTCAAAGACACCGATGCAACCATCAACCGCATCAGAACATCAAGAGGCCGATGCGCACCTCTCCTTCATGAATGGAAAATTAAAGACGCAAGCCACAGCATGAATGTGGCCATGCAACTCAAACCATGGGCCACTGTAGTCTGCGCCCCATCAACGGAGGAGGAGCAGCAGCAGCAGAAAATGACATTAACTCTCTCCTGACCCCCCCCCCCCCCCTTGTCGTGGCTGGCAGACATCAACATTGGCATTTAGCTCTGAACCAGTTGCCATCATGCACAAGAATAGAATACGATATCAGAGCTATAGAACAGTTTAACGTCACTGCCTTAAGCATCATCTAAGCTGCTGTAAAAACAACTTTTAAAAATAGTAATTATAAAAAAAATAACTAGATGGATTGTGGCATGGTGGGACCATGGGAAGTGGTCCCGATAGAGTGAGGCAGTGCATAGAACACGGCTGATGGTGATGATGATGATTACGATCCAAAATGTCGCACTGCGTTAAGAGTGCACATTCGAGGTGGCCGGGTGGCACTGTGCCGGCACCACTGCAATCCTGGGTTGGAATGATTCAACGAGGCTCCCAGTTTGAGTGAGCTGATGGTCTCGGCCCAGTCACCAATGACCGCTCCGAAAAAACACATCGTATTCAACTTGGTTGGTATGAGTTGCATAACATTTCTAAGTTTGCTAAGTTTGATAGATTTTTCTTTTCTCTCTATCGCTTTGTTCCCTCTGTAAATTTCAGCCCAACCTTCTCGCCCGTTGCGACAGCTCCCTCCTCCTCGGATTAGCCAATACTCACACCTACCCTCTCTGCGATTACATTGACTTGCAAATATCATCCCTAGTCCCACCCACTTACTCTTAGGTTATATCCACCACAAACGTATATCAAATCAAGATTGAAACACCTCTACGGGGAGGATTTCCACACAACTCCTCTTCAGCAGTCCGCCTGCTGTATATGATTTTTTCACCTGAGGACGATGGCTTGTGTTGCTATCGAAACGTCGCGATTTATTAGTTGTCTTTTCTATCTACGTGACTTTACCGAAAGAACCAAAGAGCATGAATTCCTGCAGCCACGAAATCCTCAAACCAAGATTGGTTGCTTTACAAAAGTTGGACGAATTCCAGCACTGCCACTTAACGTTTTCAGTTTGATGGACACGTGACATATATAGACTACCGGAGCAATTCAGAACTGGTTCAATGAAGTTAACTTCCGGGCCTGGGTGTTGCACTGCTCATGGCAGTGCCCGTTATACACGTGTCTTTAATGGCTCATCTCGTGCTTGGATGGTGATACAGGGACACTGGACTGCATACATTTTAGGGGAAAAAAGTCAGAAGAAAAAAAAAACCCCACGACTAAAATAAATAAATCTTCCAGTCCACACAGCCGACGGAACAGTAATCCTGTCATGCATTCCACACAGCGTGACCAATCGGGCACAACGGGAGCAAACGCTGGCATCACAGCGTGCACTCCGGCAGCCACGAGCCACAATCTCTCCAGACGTTAACTCTCACGACCGCCGCGGCTACGCACCTCTGCCGTGGGCAAAGCGGCGTTCATTTCCCATAAACTCAAAAACGATTCGCAAAAGATGCGCCATTAAACTTTATCATTGGCGTCATCGGTCTGCTGTTTATGATGCTTGTACCTGAACGTAAAACGCAATATGACCGGATCGTCTTTATGTGGCGAGTGATGAAATCAAATAGCCTGCTGGTTTTTTGTATTATTATATGCCTACACGATATGAATTATACACCGTAACTACGATAAATGACTTATATCAGTGACAAGTATGCTGCACGACTTCCAAAATAGCAATATATAAACCGTAAACTTAGCTTAGTGTCCGTGGAAAGTGACTTTTTTTTATTTCAGAGAAAAAGTCACACTCAGAACTCTGCAACATGACCAATATCTCTTCGTGTACTTTGCACCCAACTTTGGCAAGGAACATTCTTCATCACGTGCCAACTGTTAGCTCCGTGACATGCACTCCTACTGTAGGTCCTTGGGATTTATATTTTCAACTCTTGAGACATTAAAGCTGCATTGTTTATATATAATGTCATGCTGTTTGGTGCATCACGAGGTTGGGGTCTGGGTAAAACAGTATTCTTCTCCCTCTCAGCCAAAAGTCCCACTCAAGAGTTTCTATCTCCACGATCTTCGATTCTGTGCCTCTTCTCGAGTCACATCCACTGCCCTCACGTCTCTCCACCACATCCTACCATCTCACCCTCGGGCTCCCTCTACTCCTTCTGCCCTGCGCCGGTGGCATCTCCATAGCCCTTTTAATATATGGTGGGTCTATAATGGGAGTCTATGGGTGTTCTGTGTGAGTCTGTGGGTCTATTATTGGAGTCTATGGGTGTTCTGTGTGAGTCTGTGGGTCTATTATTGGAGTCTATGG